ACTTAGTTTCTGGCCCCTGCAGGGGCAGTGACCCCAGTATGGGAGGCAGTTTGGGTCCAGCCCTTCCAGCCTAGGTTCTCTAATCATATCCCTGCCAAGGTCAAGTAGCTCAAAGTTTCTCCCATCACCCTAAGTCACAGAAGTTCATCATTCAGAAGTACTACATCAAATTCCAGGAGGTTTTCCTTCGCCCACTAAGAAATGAGCATCAACCATGCCCAACATGGAACAGAACAGTGACGGAAGTGTGGTGGTCCCATCATCAAAGAGTTCATGGTTTCCTAGGGAAACAAGATTGTCCCAATTGTGTGACAGCACTCAGTTTATGCAGCAGTAGGCCAGACAAGGTAGGCATGGTGGCAAGTGCTTAGTGAATGCTCCAGCTGGGTCCTGAAAGGTGAGCAGGCAATTTGCAGGTGAACAAGGTCATTGGAAGGATCCAGAAAGAGGAAACAGTACAGAGACAAGGATGAGCACTTGACGAGTTACATTTAGATGCTGTAGCCACTCAGAGGAGGGCAACTTGAGCTGGATTGGGTAGCACCAGATTAAAACAATTATAAATTCTCAAGCATACCTTAGGTTCTGTGTTATAGCAGGTTGGGAAAAACTTCAGCACATTTGACAGATGAGAGAATGAAGGTTCAGAGGTCAAGGTCAGTTAGTTACCAGAGTCAGAACAAGGAGCTATGACTTCCTGCTCAGAGCTCTTTCCACTGAGTGACAGTGGAAGTTGGCTTTTATTTGCTTGATTCTGTTTGGCAGTGTTTTGAGGAGCAATCCATCTGTCATCTCAGATTCCTCCCTTGATTGCAAACCTGGCTGCTGACCTCAGAAAGGTGCCATCCACAAGGGCACCTCCATCAGGCTCTGAGCATAGACGTGGACTAATGCCAGTATGTTTGACGCCCCCCCCCCACCTTGGCCTGCCATAGCACTCCCTCCTGGCAGAGTTCACCCAGCCTAATTGCTTGTTTTGTATCCCAACTGCCTGACATATGCCAAACCCATGTGTTGACTCCCTGATGCACAGACAGCTACACCAGGGCGCTTCAAAGTGGCTTTTGTCAGCTCTAGCACGTAACTGGGGACTGCAATTTTGGCATTTCTATAGCCCTAGCAACAAACACAGTGCCTGGCTCATAGCAGATGCTTTGTTTTGGATGAAAGTGGATTTTTGTGACTGCAGGTCCATAACACAGTAAGGACTTAGAAGTGAGAAGTCCCAGCTTCGAATCAGCTCAACTAATTGAGTTCCTCTCTGGGTGACCTTGAGCAAGTCTTTTCTCTCTGAGTTTCAGTTTCTTGATCATTATTCACTTAATCACCAAGTTATAGCATCTCACTGGAGATGAAGTCCCAGTCCTCTTCTAGGTCACATGTAAGCACAGAGCAGCTTTGTAAATGTGAGTGTTGCCATCCTGTGACAATCACAGTAATGAAGAGATACTTGCAAGGGATAGAGGAGCCCACAGGAGAGGGTGATCAATTGTGCCAGGAAGAGTTGGTGACAGCCTTCCTGAGGTGATGACAGTGGAAGGGACTCTAAGGATAAGTAGAAAGCAATACCCCCAAATTCCACCTGCCAAGACAGCGACCAAGGAAAAATAAAATGCATCAAATACAGGACTGGTGGTAAGATCACATGAGCTAGCTGGGAAGCCAAATCAGTGACAGTGAGTGGCTCCCCTCACCCATGGTTTCTCCCCAACATGGTCTTCCATTTTGGAATTTTACAAAGCAGCCGCAAGATCTTAGCCTTATTCCCAACACTGAGCAAGTACCTGACTGTTGGTGTAGGGTCAGTGCTCTGGTGCTATGCAGAAGGTAGCTCACACCAGCTCACAAAAACTGACTCTGAAACGTTCAGGGCTGGGGGTGTGGCTCAAGTAGGAGAGCACTTGCCTAGCAAAGGGAGGCCCTGCCTTCAATCCCCAGGACTGAAAAAAGTAGGTTTAGAAATTCTGCAGGCTGGTTGCTAAATACAGCTGTTATTAAAAATTAAATTATGTAAAATTGAACTATACTTAGAGGTTATAAATACTCAAAACTGAATCTTTTATTGTATTTTACAGTCATCTTTGCTTTTGAGGTTATTTGGGACTATTATCTCTCTAGGGTGAATGAAATACTATATAATTGTATCCTACTGCTTTTCTTCCCAACTCTAGAGTTAGCAGCATAGGTCTGGGAGCTTGAAATAAACCACGATGGGAGTATTTACACCACAGGAATGAGCAAATGCTATAAATTACAACTGGTCTTCTCGTCCCTGTTTTCTTTTCTTTTCCCTTTCTTTCTTTCTTTTTAAAAATTGCTCGAAATACTGTTGTTAATGTTTTCCGGTTCACCAGTGGTAGTTAAGCCACTGAATGAACGCATGAAGAACACAGCATTGGGAAGCCTAGCACTTGTGTCTTTCCAAACCTCCAGAGACAGGGCATCAGGCACATTTCCCCATCTCCCTTGTTCTGAGGAAGGCTTTATATTAAACGGGGTTTTTCCCAACAACTGAAAATCATGGTTAAACAGAAGGGGATGGAAGGATTTTTCTCCAGGACTCGATTCCTAAGCCAACTGCCTGTTTTGGCATAAGGCCTCTATGGCCTCCAGGGGTACAGGAAGTCAATTTAATCTTCTCCAGGATTCAAAAGTAATCCATAGGAGCTGGGGCTAAAATTGCATCTGCTCTGGCTCGCCAACTCTGAGGCAACCTGATAGCCAAATGGTGCTGATTTAATGTTTCCCAATTATCATGGAATCCCCAAAGAGAGAGAAATCAGAGGAGCCTGGCCTGCATGTGCATGAGGGGGAGCAGCCAGGGCAGCCCCCCAAAGGCAACCATCCCCAGAGGGCTGGTTATTGTCCAGGCAGAATCCAAAGGTGCATTTATCAGAAGAAGGCTGGAAGGTAGCCAGCCAGGGGAGATGAGATCTGTTAGTAATTCCCTGGAAGGACAAAGTTTCAGCAATAGGAAATTCAATTGTCCTCCATTAAAGGAATCGTCTCTCAGTACCAGCTGAATACAATTGATGGAATAAGTCGTTCCCATTAGTGGAGAGATAATTTCACGTAAATATATTGGGAGACCTTCAGAGCAGGACTGAAAGTCTTTGCTGAGCCTTGCCTGCTTAACTTGTTTGCCGTGTAATTGCATTTAGACCAAGGGCCTCTCTGAGGAAACCACTGACTGAATTAGCATTACCAGATTGTGTGGAGTGAGGTGAGGTGGGGCGGGGTGGAGTGGGGGTGGGGGCGCTTGTTGCATTGTGGGTACTTGTTCTTGCCTCCAGAAAGGACAAGCTGACACTAGTGAGACCAGCTGCTTACAAGCCTGGTGTTAATTGCTTTTCTCATCAAACAGAGAAAAGTTTATGACTCTGGGAAGGTAGGAATGTGAGCACCGATAAAGCAGGGACTGAATTTGAGATTTTTTTCATAACTGCCCTTGGGCCTCATCAGTAGCTCTTCCCTAGGCCAGAAAAAAAGCTTTTTGTACCCAGGCGAGGGAGAATTATGTGGGCAACAGCACCTGCATGTTGGCCTGAGATTTGTCTTGTCATCAAAGGCTGGGTCCCCAGTCCCCTGATCCCTTAGGACAGCCACACCAGCTGGCGCCTTCACTCCCATCTTTTCCCCATGATGAACAGATGGGTCTAGCATCAGACCCAGAGATGTAAGGCCCAGAGCAAATCGTCCCTCTGCCACCACCTTCCTCTGTGGCTTTGAGCAAATAATACCACTCCTTCGTTTCCTCTTCTATAAAATGAATTTCCATGGATCAGTGACTCTCCAGCTGAGTCCTCCAGAGGCTAAGATCCCGCAGAATTGCGTTCAGAATCACCCTGAGGAAGAGAGGACCGCCACCTCAGCTGCATCTAGGGACAGATCTTTGAGGTTTTTTTCTACTTTGGGGTCCTTATAATATGTCATCTGTAAAAAGGTTCTGTTTGTGAAGTAAGTGAAACACCATCATTTTAGGTGAGCTCTAATTGCCCTGTTTAATTGGTCAGCCTCCCACTGGTTTAACTATGACTAAGCAGTTGTTAGGCATAGTCCAGGCACTGTGGAGAGAAAGAAAGAAAAGGGACCCGCTTTCAAACAGCTCATGGTCTAGTGCAGAGGAGAAAGGTGTGTGGTGTGCAGTGTGTGTGGTTTTCAGGGAGAGAAGGATGAGTTCTGGTTATGGGCACCAAGAAAAGCTTTGGGGAATGTCATTTGAAGTGTATCTTCAGGGATGAGAATGTCCAGATGAGGGTGCAGAAATGGCATCTTAGGCAGATGGAATAACATTGCACAGACACAGAGGCACTGAGTGACATTTGCCTGGCAAGTTTGGGCAAGGCACATGGTTGGTTTAGAATACAGGGGAAGAGGTAGAGGTGGGTATTTGGAGAGGTAACAGGTTCCAGAACCCAAATCAAAGAGCATTTGGTCTTCTCTTGTCTCTAATGCCAGATGAAAGGAAGTACCTGCTGTCCTGCTCACTTTCTTGTACATTCATTTCCACTAAGACACTTAGGACAGTAATGGCTGTTGCCACTTATGGAGATTACTCTGTACCAGGATGGTGAAAAAAAAACCAAAAGAGGCTCAAAGAACTGTCGTATATCTGTACAATTTCAGAGAGCTGGGAAGTAGCAGATCTGGGATTTGAACCCAGGGTTCCTGACGCAAATCCATATATATAACCACACTGTGTTATCCTCTAGAATCAGCTTTATCTCCTTATGGCATATGATATCCTTAGAAAATAACCTCTCAGTGAGATACTGGAAAATGTTTTCCAAGAGCAATTCTCTCAAGGACCCTGTGGTGCCTTAGAGATTGAGGTGATGTTTTTAAAGGGTGATGGCGTATGTGGAGTGAACACATGAGCTCCTGGGTACGAGGTGTGTCTGAGTGACCAGCCTTCTGTCTTCTGACCTCTAGGGGTTCCCACTGGCCAGGGATCTGACGATGAAAGGTACATCGTGTTGTTCTTTCTTCTCTTCCCACAGGCATGCATGTGTCATTCGTGGTCAAGTGATGACATCAGATGGGACGCCGCTGGTTGGTGTGAACATCAGTTTCGTCAACAACCCTCTTTTTGGGTACACAATCAGCAGGCAAGATGGCAGGTAGGAGACCTTCTATGGACCAGAAAGAGTGAAGGCCCTGCTCTCAAGGTGTTACCACATAGCTGCTGCTGGGTTGACAGCATGGAGGGAGGACAAGGCTTGGACCAGAGGACCTGAAGTCCCATGCCCAGCTCTATAACTCACTAGTTCTGTGACCTTGTGCCTGATCTGGCCCATGTCATCATGGCTGCAGATCAAGCAGTTCCTTCTCACTGGGTTCTCAGAGCAAGCACAGGGTCCCTAAGCTTGCCCTACAACATAGGATAGGGAATGCTGACATGGGGGCTGCTTTCTGCCAACCAAACAGCTCCAGAAATCTTGACCATTCCTGCTGTGTGGTTACATCCGGTGTCTGCTTATGTCAGTGGGAGCTATTTAGGTAAAAACAGAATTGTGACCATTTAATTCCTCTGAGGATCATTAGTGGAGTGAAGTAGAGCTTCCTTCATAGCCCTGGCTCTCGCATTTACCTGTGTGTCCTGGAACAAATCTCACCTCCGGAAGCCTCAACTTCTTCTTCTGTGAAATGGTGCTAACAGTCGATCTCACCAATTGATTGTAAGGATTAGATGAGGTGATGGATGGGAAAGTAGCTGGCACATAGTAGGTATGTAATAAGCCTGAGTTCCCTGCCTCACTCAAATTCATTGCTGTACTTCAGAGTCTGGCACATAGTATATAATAAATATTAGCTGTTCGTTAATTTTGCAAATGATTGAATAATGGGAAGGGTGATGGTAACAGGGACAGCAATGGAATGTTGTGGAGAGAAGGAAAGGAGGAGGAAGACGAAGTATTTAGGCTGTCAGTGGTGACAAGTCCTCTACTTTTAATAAAGTCAGGTGGTGGCGGTCCATCTGGCTAAGTGCGGGCCCATAAGGTTGATTTTTCACTCTATGTTGGAAATTATGCTCCAGCCTGATTGATTTTAGCACCTCTTTAATCCAATATCAGATGTGAACATGTCCCAGCCGAGGCGATAATGAAGTCGAAGCTCATCTGTTTATAGACATGTGTGCCTCTTAGATGGGGTTGGCATGGGGAGCCTCCCCACCTCCATGTGGATGGGAGAGGCCCAACTAGAAGAGGTGGGTGCCAATCCTCAGGTGTAAAGTGGCCAGGCCAGGACACTGCTTCCTGCCCTGTGTAGTTCCAGCCCACAAAGTCCGTCTCACAAAGTGATGGCAGACTCCATCACTGTGAAGGATGGCTGTCTGCACGGCCTCCCAGTTTGCAAATGGCAGAAGTGAGCATCCAGACAGCAGGTATATTCCTACTATGTTACAACCTGCTGGGAAACAGTCATCAAAAAAGAGCTTTGGAGGACTGCTCTTCCTTTCCCTGAAACTTACCAGTCACTCATGGGAGATGGCAAGTCGTCCGTCCCTGTGCCCTGCTGGCTTGGTTAGGGTAGGTCAGTAATGTGCACCAGAGCCTGGCATGACAGCCTGGCATGAGGATGGTGACCCTTGGGAAATGCTCGCTGTCTGGCACTTCCAGGTTTTGATCCCTCCTGACTGTGCTCTTGTCCTGAGGGCATGGGGTTCCCTAGAAGGATATTTCCTGCTTTAGCCTCCTATGTGAGGACACAGTAGCCAGAATGGCTGCTGGAACTTATGGTTTAGACACCGCATAATGCACAGGAGAGTCATTACAAGTTCCTATCGTGTCTGAAACTCCATGTTGTTGTTTTTTTTTTCTTCTTCTTCTTCTTTTTTTTCTTTGTGGCAATGGTACTGGGGTTTGAAATCAGGGCTTCACACTTGTGAGACAGGCACGCTACCATTTGGGCCATGCCTCCCGTCCTTTTTCTCTGGTTATTTTTGAGATAGAATCTTACTTTTTGCCCAAACCTGCCTGGACCTCAATCTTCCTAATTTAGGCTTCTCACTTTAGCTGGAATGACAAGATCATACCACTAAGCCCAGCTTTTTTATATTGAGATAGGGCTTTTGTGAACTTTTTGCCCACGCTGGCTTCAAACCGCAATCCTCCCAAGTAGCTAGGATTACAGGCGTGAGCCACCAGCACCTGGTTGAAATTCCAGTTCTTATATGTGAACAGGGAACATCTTGCTTACTTCACTTCACCCTCATTTGACCCGAGGAGAAACCATAAGGCTAGCGCTAGTCTGGAGATGAAAGTATATGAGTAAAGGGCACTGAAGGCCTAGAGACTGTGTCTGATCCACCTGTGTACTCCTCACTTTCCAGGCAGGCACCAGGATACCCTCCTGTGCTCCCCTACTCTTTATATTCACACACACATACACACACCCTGAAATACCAGACTTCAAGTCTTAACAGGAGCTAAAAAACAGAAAACACTAGCAGAGATGTTAGCCAGATATCATTTAAAAGATGGAAAATAGAAGTCGTGAAGAAAAAAAAAAATAGCAGATGAGAGAAACAGCTCGGGCTCATTGAATTGAAAAATGGGATTATACAGAGCATGACGCCCAGGGAACGTGGAGGGCCCTGTGCCTTTCCCGTCCATCAACCATCTATCTAATTAATAACCCAACCAAGTGATTAGGATCAAGAGCTTCATTTTACAGATGAGGAAATCAAGGCTTGGAAAGGTGGTGTGACTCATCTGTAGAGTAAGTAGCAGTGCTTGGACTGGCCCCGAGCTGTTTGGGCTTCATCTGAGAGCCAGACCTTCCCTCTGGGGTCAAGTTCACATTCACATCCACAACAAGGTTTCCCTGCCAGATGAGCAGGCCTGGCCCCAGCCCACTGCACTCAGCTCTTGGCAAGGCAGATGCCCCAGGCTTGCTGACAGCCTTGAGAATGTGTCTTTTCATGTTTGTCTTCCCTCTCTCCCTGCACTCAGCCTCTCATGAAGGGAGCTTGTGAGTCTGGCCAAAATTCTGTTTGCTAGTTAAAAATGTTCTGTCAAAGCACAGATGCTAGTTAGTTCTGTGACATTAGTCATTCTCTAGGTGTTTTCCCAAAACCAAGGATATTCTCCTGGGGAACCAAAACCTAAACTCTTGTTCCAAAATAAATACCTGCTCTGGTGTTTCTCGATTGCTACTTATGGGGGATGGTGGCATCTGATTTCTCTTCTTCCTGTGGGTGGCACAGAAAGGACTGAGTAAGGAGCAGGCAAAAGCAGGTAGAAAGTTACAGAAGACAGAAATCAGTCTTTGGAGCTTGGGTACCCAAATCTAGGGGTGCTATCTGCCAGGAGATGGATTTGGCACTAGTATAGACAGTTGAGTGTCTAGGGGAAGGAAAAGCAGGTTGGGACAATGGACCCACTCCCACAATGTGGACTTATTGGAGTAAAGGTAGGATTCTGCGTTGGGGTCTCTCAAACCAACACAGGTGAGCATGGGGTCAACTTGCAACAACAACAAAGTCAGAACAGACAAGGAATATTCCATGGACAGTCAACTCAAACATAGACAGTGTCACTTATGCATTCATTCTATAAACTCTTAATCAAGACACCCTAGGCTTGTTTCTAGAAAGTCAGAGGGCTCTATGTCCCCAGAGAACTGAATGAGCAATTATAGGGTAGACTTGAAGAAGGAGAGCATGTGGGTGTGATGGAGTATGGGGAGGAAGCTGGGATTCTGATTGGAGGAGGCTGTGTGGAAGGGGTGACATTTGAACTGTTTAAAAAAAGCAAAATGAGGACAGGCCTTGAAAACCCACACTAAATGTGATAGCCAAAAGGACCTTGTCCAAAGAGATACTGCAGCCAGGAGTGACAGGACAGAACCATTGTTTCCAAGTCACCCCAGCAGATAGAACTAGACCCAGTGAATAAGGAGCAAAAAGGAAGGGGACCCAGGCACAATTCCAAAAACAAAAAAAGTTCTAACAGTCAGAACCAGCCAAAAATGAGCCAGTCCTTCTGTAGACTCATGGGCAAGTAGAAACTGAATGGCTCCTTGATGATGATTCTGTAGAAAGAACTAGCACTTGAAATTGGGAAAGGAAACTAGATCAGATGACCATTAAGTTCCCCTCCAATAGTTCAGCTGTTACATGACTTTAAACTTGCTGTTTTAGAAGGTGAAAGGAACAAAATTCTAGGTCAAGTTCTTAGACACTGAACAGAAGCCTTACATAGCAGCCAGGCACTCTACTTGGCTAAGTAGCCCCCTCCTGCAGGAATAATAATCCAGCTTTGGTTTATACCTGGACTTCCTTTCCCTTTGTCCATAACTTGAGCTCACCTGGCCTCTGAGAATGAGGCTGCAGAACCACAGATCTGGCTCCCTGTGGTTCTGGGTACTAGCAAAAACGTTGGTGTGTACAAAAGAGGACTCAGTTTCCTTGGATTTTCAAGAATAAATGGTCCATGCCAAGGCTTGGAAGGGCAAGTGCCTTGCTAGGTTTGTCTGCAAGGTGATGGAAGTTAAATTTCCAACATTCTGCTGGCGTGTTTCTGGCTGGGTTCTGTTTGGGTATGATATTTTGAAGTGAGGCAGGGAACGTCCTGTCTGTATGAGCCTCTGCAAGCCTAAAACAAGAGAGGCCCAGCTGGAGGTCCCTCAGAAGGGAAGGGTCAACGGAGACCATCATAGCACAGGCCTATTTAGTGTAGTAGCAGAAAGAGAAAAAGGCCTAGGAAGGCACTTGCTGCTCAGACCTGCCCACTGTCCTCGGAGGGCCGTGAGCAGAGACTGGTCTTCTGGTCCCTTTGCACATATAAGATACCGTGATTCTCACTGTGCTGTTCTGCACTGCTTAGCTACTTGGTAGTTGCAAAGGCCTTTATTGAGTAATCTGTCATAAACAGAGCCAAAACTGCTCTAGAGTCAGAGAATCTGAGTGACTTAAGAATAATCCACTCGAGGGCTGCTGGAGTGGCTCAAGTGGTAGAGCGCCTGCCTAGCAAGCGTGAGGCCTTAGATTCAAACCCCAGTGCTGCCAAAAAAAAGAATAATCCACTCAAACATTTGCATTTTACAGATGAGAAAACAGGATCAGAGAATCTGAGTGACTTACTGGAGACCTCACTGAGATTCAGGACAGAGCCAGGACCAGGCCTAGGGTTCCTAACCCTCAGGTCGGCACCTCGCACTGCTTTGGTCTTCTGGCTTTGCTGAGCTTCAGCTCTGACATAGTTAAAAGGCCTAAATCCAAGCAGCCCACAGCAGAGGACTCACCCACTATCCTGCGTCCTGGAAGATGACCCCCTGCCTCAGTGGTTAATATTATACAGCAACAACACACGTTTTCTGGAATCAGTGTCACCGTTTGTAGCTCAAGTACTCAGACCCTTTGTGCAATTTTCTCTTTTGCCTGTAACTTTCTGTTTTCCTCCCCATCATCGTCTTGCTTTTCCTGCTCCCTTCTCTTCTCTGCACCCACAGCTTTGACCTGGTCACAAACGGGGGTCTCTCCATCATCCTGCGGTTCGAGCGGGCGCCTTTCATCACACAAGAGCACACCCTCTGGCTGCCCTGGGATCGCTTCTTTGTCATGGAGACCATCATCATGAGACATGAGGAGAATGAGATTCCCAGCTGTGACCTGAGCAATTTTGCCCGCCCCAACCCTGTTGTGTCACCGTCCCCACTGACGTCCTTCGCCAGCTCCTGTGCTGAGAAAGGCCCCATCGTGCCAGAAATCCAGGTACTCATCCTTCCTAATGGCATCTCAACAGGCTTTTTCCCATTGAGGCACTGGGGGAGGGAGGAGGCCAGGATCTTAGAGTCAGTGGAAAAAGAGAAAGCACCCCTACGGGGCCTGGGCCTGACCCCGTCAGCCCACCTTGTAGCAGGCATGGCGTCAGGACATGAGGGCCACCCATCTTACATCCTGAAAACACATGAACGTCTGTAACCTGCCTGGGACACCCGGACTTGCAACAATTCCCTCTCCCTTTCCTTCTGCCTCTAGTTCACTTCTGCTTTTCTTTTCCTTAGCCTCCAGGATGTCCCCTCTCTCAGCATTTCTGTTGAAAGTATTTATAATAATAGGTTCTACCAAGAGGAATAAGCTACAGGATCCCAAGTAGTAGGCGTTATAATAAAGATTAAATGAAAAAAATGTATATGAGGTACTTAGCATGATGTCTGACACCTAGTAAGTGCTCAATAAATTTTAGCTGTTATTATTATTAAGATTATTTAACACATGCTGTCTTCGTGCCAATTAAGGATTGCTTTGGCGCAACTCTATACACACAAGTATTTTACTTAATTATCATTAAAGGGAAGTAATTGGGAAAGATGCATTGTAATCTGATGGAAATCAAGATAGATTCTTTGCCTAACAAAGCTCTACCGAGCTGAATGTCCTCCGCCATCCCCACTGTGATGTCTATCGGCAGAAAGGAAGGCTTGAAGAAGGGGAGAGATGGCAGCTCAGAAGCCCACAGAGGCCTGGTCTGCCTAATGAAAACTCAGGCGGTGTGCATGTTAATGGATTGCCCCAGCCATGGTAGAGCAGAGAGTTTATGCATTTATGTGTGCGTATTTCATGCCTGGCTGAGCAAACACATCTCTCCGTGTATGCCCTGTAGAGTGCCTGCTAATGCCAGCCCACAAGGAGGAACTACAACCATTTTGAAATTCTCTTTGCACTCCCAGGTTGAAAGCTCACTCCTTCTCAGATTCAGCACCTGTCTCCCGTCTCAACGGCCAGGCTGACCTTTCTTATGAAATGCTTGTCAGTAGAGACAGAACTTGCTGGAAAAGAGTAATTTGTTACTCAACCCTGGCTCAACTCCAGCTAGACACTTTTCCCAGGAGCAGGGACTTTGGGACAAATGAGGTTCCAGGTCGTACCCTCTTTACAATGCTCTCTGAGCTGGGTGCCTACTAGTCCAGATGGGGCACTAACCTTGCTTATTGTCAGATTGACAAGAACAAACTCTTGGGTTTTCCCAGGCCTGTTGTTGGGTAGCCTTTGCAAGTGCAGAGAGATGTAAATTGTGAAGGGTATACTAAAGAAGGAAAATATTCATGAGAGCAGCAGGACAGCACTTGAGTCCTGCCTGTGTCTCATCAGGGTGGAAAGCCTGCTTGCAGGGAACTACTAAACTGTGACTTAGGGAGACAGCCTTTTAGTCTAAGCCCAGTCCCTAGAATTTGCTGTGTTCCAGAGATGGGGAAAGGTTCACACCCTTCCATGGAACAGACAGGATGAAAAGGCCTGTGTGCCCATGTAAATAATCATTGCCCCTTACGTGGACACATTAGCTTTGACTCATTTATGGTTCCCTCCTTGAGACAGCCCAGAGCATCGAGCTGATGGAAGTCCTCTGCTTTTGTCACAGGCCTGATCATCTGGCATTCACTGCATCTTTCCATCTTAGGTCTGAGCTCACCGCAGTCCGCAGATAAAGCGCTGCTGTCCCCACCACTCCATTCTTCTGACACAATGCTGGAGTGGGGACCCAGGGTGTGTGAAACTCCATGTGACCGCTCAGCCTCTCTAGGGGAGCGAGGGCAGGGCACAGGTCCTTGCCAGGCTGAGTTCTCAACTCTGCCTAATGACTGGTTTGGTCAACCTCTCTGTTTGTTTTCCTGAAAAGGAACACTGTGGGACACAAATCTTACCCTAGAAAACCTTTGAGGAAAAAAAAACCCACCCTTTTTGCTCAGGCAGCTGTGCATTTTAGTCTGGCAGAAAGGTCTCTCTTCCTAGTACCCGCTGCTTCCAGCACTATGGACACCAGCAGCTCCTCCATCCTACCCAATGACACTGAAGTGCTAGGCACTTTACATACATGATGTTACTCCATCCTGTGCCAATCCAGCAAGGAAACTGGGACTCAGGGATCTCTGAGATTTTCAGGATGACACAGTGAATCAGTATCTTACATGCATTACCGTATGTGTTCCTCTCAATCATGCAATGAGCTGGCATTGTCATTCATGTCACATGGAGGTGGAGCCCAAGACTCATCAAAGTGAGCTGGCTTATGCAGGGTTATACCACATGAGAGGTGGCCCCAAAAGTGAGGTCTTAGGGCTGTTTTCCTTGTCTCTCAATCCCTTTCTCATCCTTTTTGTTCTTCTTCCTCCTGCTGCTGCTCCTCACCTTCTCTTCCCCTCTTCCTTTTCCCTCTTCTTACCTCCTGCCCTTCTGCTTCCTCCTCTGCCCCTTCAACACCCAGTCCATGGGCCATGGCTGTCTTCCCTCCCCTGGGCAATTCACTAAAGGTCCCTTGCTATGGTCTTTCTGTGTTTTAGGCTCTGCAAGAGGAAATTGCCATCTCTGGCTGCAAGATGAGGCTGAGCTACCTAAGCAGCCGCACCCCTGGCTACAAATCTGTCCTGCGGATCAGCCTTACCCACCCCACCATCCCCTTCAACCTCATGAAGGTGCACCTCATGGTGGCAGTCGAGGGCCGCCTCTTCAGGAAGTGGTTTGCGGCAGCCCCAGACCTTTCCTATTACTTCATCTGGGACAAGACAGACGTGTACAACCAGAAGGTGTTTGGGCTTTCTGAAGCCTTTGGTAAGCCATCCCACCACAGGCACAGAGTCCCGCGCGAGAGAAAACAGCACAGGGAGGATTCTTTTTCCATCTCCATGGCTACTTCTTCTCAGGTCAAAAATACCTAAGGTTACTTGGCCCTGAAGACCTCACAGTAGCCATCCATGACCTAAAAGAATGTTCTAGAAGACCTGAATGTGGGAAATTCAAGCATTTAAAAGTGGTTACAAACCAAAACAATCCTCAGAAAGCACTGTGGTGGGATGTGATGGGCTAAAAGTGCTGTGTGCCACAAAAGGTAGAATGTGTGGATGTTGCCTGGCCACCCCACAGATCTCAGGGTAACTGGGAAACTGGGCTGCTTTCATGTTTTTGAGGTGTAGAAGCTAAGATACTCCCTTCATCAAAAATGCATTTTGGGGCCAGGTATGGTGGGGTAACATCTGGGATCCCAGTACTCAGGAGATGAGGCAAGAGGAATACAAGTTGGACGCCAAACAGAGCAAAGTTAGTGAGATGCTATCTTAAAAATAAAATTTTTAAAAAACGGGGAGATCCAGAGGGCATAGCTTAACTGGTAGAGCACTTGCCTATAGCCTCACCCAACCTCTCTAAAATGTTGGGCTTCCAGGACTGGCTGTACTCCTTCCAGCTTCCGGATCAGAGCAGAGTCCCAGGAAGGCTTCAGAACTGGGTGTCGGCAGTCCTAACCACCCCAGGGCAAAACCACCAGGCACTTAAGAACAACAGCTCACCAAACCCCTTCTCATCTTTGAACCCCAGCTTCATTGCCCTTAACTAGCAAAGGCAGAATGAGGAAGCAGAGAAGTACTGTGTGTTTAGAAAGGAAGAAAGTAAGGAAAGCAGGGAGAAAAGGATAAAGGGAAGGCAAGAGAAAGAAGGAAATAAGAAACTGCTTTGGGCAATGTGCTCCCCTCTACATTAGAATTTACTGAATTCTTAAAACCATGCTGTGAGTCAAAAATTAGCAACCCTAAATTCTGTATGAGAAAGCTGAGTCCCAGAGAAGGAACTGGCTTCCCAAGGATGCACAGCTAGGAAGGAACAGGGCTGGGGTCATCCCACCTCTTCACTACCATTTGTGTCCTGCCTTATATAACCCACAAAGGCACATTAAGAGAAAAGATGCCCTCTCACTAGTCACAATCCCTTCTGGAGATCTGCCATCTCAAAAAAAGAAAAAGCTGAGACCCTACAACCTTTTCAGATGAAATGAGCATATTTAATGCTCACCAGGCAATTAAAATTAAAACGGGAAGGGTCCACACAGTAGATTTCAGGGCTGGGTGGGGCTCACTTTCCTGAAATCACAAGAGGCCAGTAGGAGGCATAGTGACTGCTAAGGGGACTCAGGTTCCCAAGGAAAAGGTCACAGGGGCATTTTCCCACCCATTCCCCTTTTGTCATGGGTGGTACCCACCTTATTTATGGTAACTGCAAGAAACTTTAAGTTGCTGCTCAAGTAATTCCTGTCTCGAAATGTGGGAGATGTTACCCACTGGAAAAGAGCACCAACACAGAAAGACACTTGGAAGAAATGGCAAGCCTGTCTGCTGGTTCCTTCCTCCAGGCCAGCCACAGAGCTGGTTACAAACCCAAGCTCAAGAAGTCTGGGATTATCTTCATCCCAGGGAACTCCTGAGGGACCTGGATTTGTGAAACAAGTGAAACCAGGGCATTTTCAAGCTTCGAAACCTCAAGCAACTTCCAGTTTAAAGTATCCCAACTAAGCTCTTTTTCACAGATTCATTATAAATGAATTATTGTTTAAAAAAAATACTATCGCCATGTCCACTCATAAAAATGTGAGAAATGGACAGAAGTAAGAAGAAGTCTTATGTGATCCTATACACAAATACAACCTCTTGTCACTGTTATAATTCATGTTCTTTTTCATATGTAGGGCTTTGGGGAAGTTTTTTGTTATGTTTGTTTTAACACAGATTACTGATGGTAACCAATAATCTGTGTCATTCCATGAGCATTTCCTATGGTACCACATGGGCCATCGTTTCCAGGGACTGCGTAATATTCCTGGATTGGACATGCTTGGGTTTCCTTAGCCTTTCACCTCTTCTGAACCTTTAGATTGATTCCAGTTTTCCACTTTTATAAATAATGCTACAGTGCAGACTTTTGTGCATAAACTATTTTCTGTATTAAAAAGTATTTCCCTGGAACTGATCCATCAGGGTCCTTTTAATGTATCTAGTACAATTGCTTAACCTTTCCCAGTAGTGTACAGCTGTTCTTTTAAAAGGTTTGAAGGCTTAGCATCAGTGTGTTGGTATTTTATATGGTTCTGGTTCCCAAGTGGAAACAAGATCCTTTTCTCTTCTTCCATGAAAGACAAGCAAAGGGTCACATGTGGTCCCAAGGGCCAAAGAGGAGCTTCGTTCACCTGTGCACTTTGCTCCTGTGTTCCTACAGTTTCGGTAGGATATGAGTATGAATCCTGCCCAGATCTGATCCTGTGGGAAAAAAGGACGGCAGTGCTGCAGGGCTATGAAATTGATGCCTCCAAGCTTGGAGGATGGAGCCTGGACAAACATCATGCCCTCAACATCCAAAGTGGTGAGTCAAATAATGGAATTCCCTGAGCCAGGCCAGGGTGGCACCTTGTCTCTTATCCTATGTGCCTTCCAAACAAAACACTTTGAATTACATGGGCTTCTATGTGATCAGTTGGTCAGGAGGGTCAGTCAACAGACCCTACTTGGGGACATGCTCTGAGCCTATCATTGTACTAGGGGGTGCAGAAATGAAAGGCTTCCAGACTTTACATGGTCACAGACAAATACTTGCCAAGCAATGTCAATAGCTAAGGCAGTCTTTAAAATGAGAGCTACGGACAGTCAGACCATCCCAGAGGAGATGGGAGACACCTTCAAGACATGGGAAATCCTCTTGTTTCTTGTCTTGATTCTTCAAGGAGTCCCTGGGGAGAAGACCCCTGACTAGCATCTCAGAGGGTCAGTTGGACATTGTAGCAGAGAGCACAGTATGTATCCAGCCACGAAAGCCTGGAAGAGGAGGAATTGAGAGGAGGCTCATTGCCATTTGAGCAGAGGGAAGGTTGAAAGGAATGGGAGAGACAGAGCCAAAGCTGGGGCTTGGGCAGCTAGAGGCCAGGGTGAGAAAAACTGAACTTCCTCCAGAGGTAAATGTCAAGCCTCTGAGAAGTTTAAAGCCTGCAACTGCCGTGATGACATCTGTACTTTAGGTGACTCAGTCCGACTAGGTTCCAGCATGGGATGATATAGTAATAACATTACATACCTCTTGCTAGTCTGCAAGTGCAATGAATGCCTATGAAAGCTAGAGCAGGTTTGGGGGAAATTGACAGACCATTTCTGAACATTTTATAGTAAAATAAATATTTGCAAATCGCTAAGACAGTTTTTAAAATAAGAGCACAGTCTCACCAGAGACTAAGCTAACTCAAAAAACTATAAAATCTGAGATGGCAGTGCTGGCATAGAAACACATATGTAGAGTCCGTGAGACAGAGCAAGCTCCAGAACTGACCTGTGAGGAGTAATTACAATGAGGTTTGGCCATGAGTGTCAGAAAAGTCAAAATAACAGAGCTGTGAACAAGCTAAAGTTGGCTTCCCCCCTCACCTACCAGCTTGGAGGCAGATGATCAGGACTGCAGGGTCAGAAGCCACGCTCCTCCCCTTTCCTTGTTCTACTCAGCCTTTATCCCAAGAGTATAATCCAAAGTAACCACTGCAGCTCAGCCCTTCATATCCACTTTCCAGCCAGCAAAAAGGAGAAAAAAGGACAAGAAGGTGCAAGCCCCTCCCATTGTGAGGAGTCTCCCAACAGCTGCGCTCACCATGTCTCTATGTCATTAGTAAGAACACAGTCACAGACAGAGCTGCCACAGGGCTGGTGTCACGGCCTGTTTCAGGTAGTCATGTGCCCAGCTAGATGTCAGGAGTTACATAGGTACAGAAGAAGAGGGGTGGATGGGAGGATATCCGTGGATAATTAAAGAGTCCCCACACACATCGATGAAGAAGAGCAGAGTATGTGGTAGAGGTCATCACATATCAGTGGGAAGAATGGTTGGGAATTTTAGAAACTGATATTGGGAAAATTGGTTCAATTTTCAGAGAAAAAAATTACATTAAGGTTCCACTTCACACTATATACGAAATAAATTTAAATATTTTAAAACATCTAAGTTGAAAGATAGCACTTTAAAATTAATGGAAGAAAATATAGAAAAATATCCTTAAAGTCTCAGGAAAGAATTTCCTGCAACCTTAAAAAGCACAGACTTTAAAGTGGAAAAACAATTGATTAGACTGCATAAAAAAATTAAATCCCTTCAGCAAAGGACAGCTTTGGCAAAGCTAACAGGTGGCAGCTTGAGAGATGAATCTTGTGACCTATAAAAGCCAAAACCCAGTTGGGCATGGTGGCTTAAGCCTCTAACTCTAGTTACTTGGAAGTCTGAGATCTGGAGGATCACAGTTGGAGGCCACCCCAGGCAAAAGTTTCATGAGACCTTATTTGAATTAGTATCTGTTAACTGGGCACACTGGTGCATGGCTGACATCCCAGTGACAGCAGAAAGTATAAAATAGGAGGATCATGACCCAGGTCAGACCCAACTCAAAAGTAACCAGAGGAAAAGGGTGGGAGATGTGTGGTTGAAGTGATGAAGCCCTGAGTTCAAACCCCAATACCAGCAAAAAAAAAAAAAAAGGCCCAAAACCCACTCAGTCTTCAATATGGAAGGCAGAAGCAGAAGGCAGGAGGCAGGGTTCAGTTTGGAGGCTGTGGCAATATGCAGGTAGGAAATAATGATTGGGAATGAAAAGAAATAACATAGGTGTCAGAGGAAAAAGACATTGTCTACACACTTGAGATGGTATCAATTAAAAGAAAGAAAAACAAGTGCAATAGAGAGTCTAGGAATGTGGACTGAGCACATGGGGCCACGTGCAGTCTATTTGAGAGGTAGCAGAGCTGAGCAGCCCAGCTGAGCTGGCTTCTGGGGCTGCAGCACTTCCTCCCTGTGTGGCTTTGGCTAAACTACCTGATCTATTCCCTCTGTCACAATAGTTGTAATAACCATGTCATCTTATTAGCCTACAGTGAGAACAAAATCAGTGGACAGTGTGGCCTACTCGGGTCCCTCTGAGTTTCACTGTGGGGGGACAAATCTTGACGTGGTTGGCAAGGACCTGGCCTGCTTTGCAATAGGAAGGTGACTCTGTGGCTGGCCGACCACAGGAAGAGGAACCCACTCCTTGCTCCCTCGGCGACGATTCTCTCTCCTTGTCCCAGGCATCCTGCACAAAGGGAACGGGGAGAACCAGTTTGTGTCTCAGCAGCCTCCTGTCATCGGCAGCACCATGGGCAATGGACGCCGAAGAAGTATTTCCTGCCCCAGTTGCAACGGCCTCGCTGATGGGAACAAGCTGCTGGCCCCCTTGGCCCTCACCTGTGGCTCTGACGGGAGCCTGTATGTGGGAGACTTCAACTACATCCGCAGGATCTTCCCCTCTGGAAACGTCACCAGCATCCTGGAGCTGAGGTATGTAAGTCAGTGTAGTGCCTTTGTCACAGTTCTCATCCTGTCCCTCACCACGTCCACATGCCACCCAAGTGTCCAACACCTGCCTTAGCCACTGGGCCTGGGGACGTGGGACAGGACAGAGCTTCACCTGTCAGAGTCTAGAACTTTTTTTTTTTTTAACCTCCCCCAGTGCATTGTGCTAAAGACAAGCCACAGTTGACAGGGAGATGTGCTTGGTATCCAGGTGGCATGGAAGGCTGGAAGCCAAGAGTTAGACTCCTTGGAACTACTGAGTCTTTTTTGCTTCCTAGAACTAAACTGATTAGAATTGGTCACGTGGGTCATTTTATAATAAAAGGGGTAGCATAGTGGGTGAGGCCTGGGTGGCAGTGTCACCACATTTGACCCTGTTACATTGCACTCATCGGAATTAGGAGACGTTCCTTTCACCTGGCCATACTGAGATGAGGCCCAAGGCCTGACCTAGGTAGTGCCTCTCTGTCTTGCAGGAGCTGCAGAACCAGCTGGCTCAGCCCTTCCCCTCCTGCCTGTGAGCAATGGAGCATAACTGCACATACAGCTTGGGAAGGGCCCGGTGTTTTGCATTTTTCTCTATGCTTCCCCAAGCCAGATCTTTTTACAACCAAAGCACTGTCATAGGGTAGGCTCTGGGGTTACAGAGAGCTGTGTTTAGAAACAGGGTAGCCCCACTCTCCTTTTCTGGAGAAATTGCACAAGATCCCTCATAGAAATTTTAGAGAATGTCTCCTGGGTTGGAGCTACGTGATAGCTCCAAGAATAGGCCTTGAGCTGGAAAGCCTTCCTCTCAAGTTGGGCTTCTACTGTGTGCCAAGTGTACCAGTTCTGTGAGGTGTTCATTAACATTGCCCTTTGATAAGTGAGGAAAAATAGGCTCAAGAAATTTGAAGCGCTGTCCAAGGTCTATCTTCTAGAATGGTAGACTCCAGTCCAGAAAGCATTACACAGCTCTGCCTCACTAAAGAATAAGGGTCACTCTGTCCTAATGCCTTGTTGTTACTCTCCACTGAAAGAATGTCATTCTGCACATGTAAAAGGAGGGTGAAGCCTGCTGGCTACCTGACAGCTGTCATAAATCTTGGAAACATGTGATATCCACCCCCTTACCCCCCCCCACACACACGAGACAAATGAGAGATGCTCACAATCTGTGGGCTCCTAGAACATTAGGCTGAATGAGAAGTCAGCCACCCGTGGAATATTCTCTGCTTTCTTCTCTTTATTTTGAGATTGACTGGCACAGACATCTGTTAAGGAAGAAGGAATCTTTCCTGCAGTCAGCTGCACACATGTACTATGATGAAAAGAGCCTTGGACCAGGGGGTTGGCTCCCCTTGACAGAGAAGCTGTACAAATGTGAACAAAAAGTGGACTCTCTGGGCCTCCATTTTCACACATTCCAAATAAGCCATCCTATTTTCCCTGCCTTCCTTCCATAACTGTTGGGAGGGCCATGTGGAAAAAAGGGAGGAATCGATGAAATGTGGAAGGAGAACTCAATCAACATGTTATCATTTTGATATATTTTCCTCCAGTCTTTTCCCCTAGGCCTGTTTCCCTAAGTCACACCCTCCCTTCTAATTACAGTAGATCTCCAATTCTGTATCCTATTCTGAATGGCTCTTGGTAGGCTACCCATGTTTTGATAGCTCTTGTAAGGCAGCATCACACAGAGACACAGAACAGTGAGCCCGTGGATCTCTGGGCATGTGTCTGTAGAGAGAAGAGAACCGACTGTTCCAATCTCTGTCTTACCCTTGTTAAAGCAGCAGAATGTGTCAGGCTAGTCCTTTTCCCCGAAGTCAGCAGTGTGGTGCAGGTGGAACTGTTGCCTCCTCTATGATATGTAGCTGCTTGTAAGTGAACTCACTGACAAGGAATATCCAATATAAAATATATCAGTGTCATAGCTGCTAAGTCTTTATTTATTACAGTATTGTACAGTGCCATTGCTGTCAAGTTTTCAGACTGCTAATAATGCCTCTAACCCTGCTGCTAACACCTCATTCTTTCTTCTATTCCCTGCTCTCCTGTCTTCTGTCAGAAATAAAGATTTCAGACATAGGTAAGCCAACCAGTGGAGAATTTCCTGTCTCCCCCCAGCCTTGTTGCATGTTGTATGGTAAGCCGCACACGTCGATTTCAGATGGCTCAATGGCAGAGGAACCCCATGTTACTGGAGCTAAGTGGGAATAATCAGTGGTGATGAGAGGAAGTCATTAATAATGGTGGGGCGGGTGGCAGGAGCCTAAATCTGTAGCAAAGTGAGACAGTTGCCCTGCATTCTGTGAGCACGGTAGACCAAAGCCATAGGGAAAGAATTTAAACCTTGGCCCAGTAACTGAATGCCACAGTCTGCTTAATCCTTAGAATAAATGAGGATATCACCCATACTGTGCGCAGTGACTTTGATGACCACAATGGGAGGTGCTGAGAGCATCATGATCAGGTGAAGAATCTGAAACCAGACAGGTTTCATATCCCAAAACCAAGGCACGTGGAATACCAGTGACCCCGCCAGAAGGTGTGCCAGCAGTGAGAGAGCAGGCCCCAAACAAAGCTATGACACAGAGTAGACTGGTCACGTGATACTGCAGCCACTGGGAGTGGGTCAAGTAATTCACACAGAGAAAAATGACACCTGTCATTGTAGCATTCATCTAACTCCTGGGTTACAGAGTCGCCGATCCTGCACACACTAGGGTGATTTGCAAAGTAGCCATGGACAGATGGAGCTATGGTTTGCATAGCCACAGAAGTGGTTCTGAATTATCCATGTGTGGCTCAGATGGAAGTGGCACATGGGCTGGTGCTAAACTGGGATAAAAGAAAGTCTTTGGGATGGTAAAAGAGTCAGACAGACCCTAAACCTAATAGTTATTGACTACTTCTATAGAGGTATGCTTTCATGTAATAATCACACATCTATTAGCAGTACTTGGTTTCTAACTCAGGGCCTTTTGCTTGTTAGGCAGATGCTCTACCACTTGAGCCAAGTCCTAGCACTTTTTATTTTAGTTACTTTTCAAATAGGTTCTTGAGTTTTTGCCTGGGCAAACCTGGACTGTGATCCTCCTATATATGTCTCCCATATAGCTAGGATGACAGGCATGTGCCACCATGCCAGGCTTATTGGTTGAAATAAGGTCTCACTAACTTTTTGCCCGGATGACCTTGAACTGCAATTACAGTCCTCAGTAGCTGGGACTGTAATCATAAGCCCCTGCACCTGGCATTTATTAAAATAATAACTAACATGTATAGAGAATTCACTGTGTAGCAGAGAAAGTTATGCAGTTTATACCAATTATAACATTTTATCCCCAAACCATTCTGTGAGGTATGTACCCATGATTGATCCAATTCACAGACGAGAAAACTGCCCACTTGTGTACCTTGAAAGAATGGCCTCATGTTTCAGACCATTTATTTCTATTGTGAGGTTACTAAAATTGCTGTAAGAGTCACAAAGGATGTTTGTAGTGTTCAGCGTTTTCAGGCACAGGGAGGAGCTCCAACAGCGGTCGTAGTACTGCTACTAATAACAACAGCAACATATATAGTATATCTTGTGTGTGATCATAAATATGATGCCTCTACCTTTCCCAAAAAGAAGTTGAGTCCTCTTACACCCAAAGATTTACTAAGGTACATTCAGCAGAAATTGGGCACCAAAGTAAAAAAGAGGAAACACATCTGCAATTGTACCTCGTACTAAACTCCAAGCTTCACGGCAGCCAGAGTAAATAGGAAAACATGATTATCTTCTTGGTTCACATTATCAGAACTGGGAAATATGCCCACTTCTCAGAGGACAAATATTCTCACTCACACTGAAATCCGAGACGCTTAGGAAGATCTGTGTGGGTGATACTGAACAGTGCATTAATACGTGTCTGCAACTTAAGGTTGCAGAAAACATAGAAGTACATTTCACGTGAAGATCTTGGATTAAAACCTAGCGTTTAACACTGAAACCATCAGTCAGTGGCTAGCTGTCTGGGACACACCTACAACACAGCTGAGAAGTCTTGGGCCATGTGACTTTAGGCTGGTCACACAGCTATTCTGGTTTCTGGTCTCATCCTCTATTAATTGAAAGACACATGGTTTGGGGTTTTGTTTGTTTCTTTGTTTCTGATCTTCAGTGGTCTTTTCATACATCAATGATATGATTAAAAATTTCTGCATTTTCTGCAAGACTGCAGTTGAGGGCACATATTATGCAAAGTTCAGTATCAAATCTCACTGAATGTCTCACATTTCCTCAAAGTGGGCATGTTTTCCATTTCTGATGATACAAGCCATGAAGGTAATCGTGATTTCCTATTTATTTGTGTCTGATCTTCAGTGATCTTTTGATATATCCATGGTATGATTTCCAAACTGGCTAATCTAAGTAGACAGGGCCCTCCCACCATACTCCCTTGGGGTCCACTTTCTGCCAAGGTAGATCATACCAGTTTATTACGACTGATGCACACAGAAATGAAATAATCACCCAGCCCCCCATTGTGATGGATCAGGCTGCTTCAAAATGGTGGAGCAGGATCTAAGGTCACTGCATTTTACTTAGCCAAAATCTGTCATCTGGGAAGATTAAATCTGTGCTGCATTATAGGGTAAGTCCCAGAGGATATTTCAAAATAAACAGGACATCTGCGCTGTTAGCAACACCTCTAAACCTTTCTACGTTCTCTCAAGTCATTGTTTTCTCAAGTGCTAAAAGCTATTTTTAACGTGAGCTAAAATGGAAGGAAAGAGATGTCACTTTCTGTTTCAGTTTCTAAAGACAATCAGAAGACCAGAAGCCTGGGTTCCAGCTGTGATTTTGACTGGTTCCTATAGACTGGCAAATCCCTTCCTCTGGGCCTCAGTGTCTCCCTCAGATTAAAGATAGTCTAGAAGTTTGTCTCTTTATCCATTAGCTGAGGCAGCTAATAGCATTTGGTGCCACAGGGTTGACTTGGCCTATGTGTGATCCCCCAGGACAGCCTTATCTCTGCCTGACTTTTTCAGCTGCTCTGCTGGGCACACCCAATACTGAAACCCACAATCCCTTGGGCATCTTCTTCTGTGAACCAGACATCCTCACCTCTTCCCAGATCTCTACCTAGGGTCAAGGAAGAACATTGCAAGCCTGCTCTTAGAAGGACCCTCAAACTCAAATCTTGCTACACATTTTATATTAACTCAAAAGAGTCCTTAAATGTCCCAGAAAATAGGTTAGACAGGACAACACTGAATCTGACATACTTAGCTTTTCCATTATGCACTAACGATAAACATTCTGGAGGTTTCTCAAGATAACCAGCTTTGCTTAAAAGTTCCCATTTACTGGGCATTTCATTTTTAAAGGATCAGACATTGTGCATCAAGATTTACATTCTCATGCAATTTTTGCCCTCAAAATAACCCTCTGAAGTAGGTGTGGTTATCCCTATTACTCAGATAAAAAAAAAAGTGAGGCTCAAAGTAACAAAGTGAATTTTCCAAGGAAACTGAATGAAATAGGTAGTAGAGCTGGTATTTGAGCCCTTGTTTGTGCAGCTGTAACTTGTTCTTCCCAGTGGTTCTGAGAACCAGTGAATCAGATCTTGCCAGGACTGCCTGTGATGTGGATGCAAGATGCTCTTTAATACAAGGCAGATCTGACTCTGGGACAAAAGGAGAATTCTGACTCGGAAGTTAGAGAACAGATCATGTTTTGTCACAAGAGACTCCCAGGCTCTTAGCTCTTACGAGGAACTTCCCTACCTCTCCCAGAATAAGAGTAGAACAAGGCCTGACTTCAGCTCATTAACTTCAGGAATGGCACCTTGAAGGCCTCTAAGATTTTATGTCATTTCCAGAGGGACCAAGATTATGTGTGTGGAGCTAGAAAAGAACGCAGGTCCCCTGGGACTCCTGCAGCAAACTCTGGAAGGAGGATTGTGATCTGATTCTGTGCCAAGCTCCACTCAGGATTCTGGAGGTCAGAATTCAATCAGGCGTGGTCCCTGGCTTAGAAGTGCTCCCATCCACAGAACCAGACCCAGAATCTCAGCTGTAGGCTATCTCCCACTTCATGCCCTCAAAGAACTTTTGGTTTGCAAAATCTGAGTCCTTGCTTTCTCAAAGTACAGACAAGCAACACTGGCATGCTCTGAGAACAAACCAGAAATGTAGACCCTTAAGAGCTGAAATCTGCGTCTTTAGCAACATCTCCAAGTGGCTCCTATGCACATTGAATTTAAAGCACTTCTCTATAAGGCTATGATTCTCAAGTCCAACTGTGTCTCAGAGTCACCTGGAGATATCTCAAAGGCTCTTCAATCACTATTAGGTAAGGCTTTTTCTTCTAGCTTTCCTGGTAATTCTGTTGTACAAAGCCATCTATACAAGACCATTAGCAGAGCTTCCTGGGAACACTCCAACCAGAGAGGCCATATTCATTCATCCACTCACTCATGAGTTCAGCAGAACTTTCTGGAGCACTTCCTCTGCATCTGCCCAGTGGGAAACACTAGAGACTTGAAGTCAGTCCCTATCCTGAAATAGTTCAGTATTTCACTAAGGAGACAGACAACTAAGCAGAAAATTATATTTAAAAGCACTACAGAGCTAGGAAGCCATGGCTCAACCCTGTAATCCTAGCTACTTGGGAGGTGGAGATCAGGAGGATGGTGGTTTTAAAGCCAGCCTCAGCAAAATGTTAGCAATGCCTCCTTTCAACCAATGGCTGGAAATAGTGGTACATATCTGTTATCCCAGCTTCTCAGGGCAGCACAAATAGGAAGATCACAGTCCAGGACTACAGGGACATCAATCAAGACCCTATCTCAAAAGAAACCAATGCAAAAAGGTCTGGGAGCAGATACTCAAGCCTAGAAGCACAAGGCCTTAAGTTCAACTTCCCAGTACTGCCAAAAAAAAGCACTACAGATACTAAACATATAATCTGCCTAGGCTGCAATGGAAACACAAGAAGGGTATGGTGGTTCTACCAGTGGGGAAGAAGTGGGTATCCAGGAATGATATTACAGGTGAGATAATGTTCAGGTTGAATCTCCAGAGATGGGCAAGTGCTCCCAGGGGAATGAAGACAATGAAGACAATGGCGCTTTGTAGGCCCTGAGCGGCAATGTGGAGAAGTAGAAAGAACACAGACTTTGGAGTCAAGCAGATCTGGGTTGAAATTCACTTTGTCTGTGGTCCTAGTCAAGTCATTTTAACTGTCTCAGTCTCATCTTTCTAAAAGAAAAGAAAAGAGTGAGCACCTGCCATATATGATAATGGTAAGGAAAATGAGGCTATGCGTGTCAAGTGCTTGACAGAGTCTGGGACAGAATCTGCATCCATCGAGGGCGTCAGATGTATTCAGATCAGTGATTGTCATTTCTGCAGCTCTGTTCCACAGGTTGGTGGTGCTGCAGTCCAGGCTAGGTCCAGGTGGGCATCTCAGACCCAGGTGCAACTCCAGTTTCAGGTGGCATGAGGAAAAAATGAGTTGAGGACTGTCCAGAGAACACCACATACTGGAAAGGAGCGTTGATAATTTTGTTTCCTCCAAATGACAAGTCTGTGAGCAAAATAGAGTTGGGACTTAATCATCTGACCTCAACTTGAAGTATTTAGGTAACCTGCCCAAATTAGAACCCATGCCTCCTAGATTCAAAGCCAGTGTTCTTTCCCCTACGTGTAAGTGACCACCAGACCTCAACTTTGTCCTTGAGCACAAAAGACAAGGTCATGGCTCCCACAAACAATTCTGCCCCGGGCCACCATCCCTCCTGGAATTCACCCATCTGAGAAACTGCACATGAATGACACTTCTCCAGGGCAGTGCAAGGTGACATGAGCTGGAAACTCAAGGGGCTAATCTAAGTGGACAGGGCCCTCCCATCATACTCCCCTGGGGACCACTTTCTGCCAAAGTGGATCGTCCCAGTTTATTATGAGTGATGCGCAAGGAAATGAAATAGTCACCCAGCCTCCCAACTGCCATGTGGAAGCTGAAAAATCAGCCTGCTCCACATGGCAGAGCAGGATCTGAGGTCACTGCATTTTATTTAGCCAGAATCAGTATCATCTGGGAAGATTAAATCCGTGCTTCATTATAGGGTAAATCCAAGAGGACATTTCAAGACAAACAGGAATCTTTGCAGTTACGACCCTCCCCCACAATGTAAAGTTAAAGAAGAGCTAAGTAATTTGAATTTAAATACTACCTAAATAAGCCAAAAATGGAGATGTCATTTATTGAAAACAAGCAGCTATTCTGATGGGCTAGAAGGCACCTAACCAATATTGGAAATACAGAAGTGGATAAAATCTAGTCTCCACCCTTCAGATACTGATGGCTGGATCTGGAAGAGAGGCACATGTGTAAATAGCCAGGCATTATGAGAGGTATCCTATAGTCAAGATATGAACTAATCTGAATCTCGGTGCTCAGAGAAGAAAGACCAAGTAGGTTTGCCAGGAAAGGTACCATTTGGAATGTGGAGGAAAGAGAAGACAAGGCAGGACCAGCAGGCGTAGGGCAGGCCTGAGAGCACACAGAGGGACATGGGTGGGTGTTGTTGGAGTGTGGGGTGTCCGCACAGGAGGGACTGGGAAGGTGGAGTAACCCAGCAGGAAGGGCCTTAGGCAATCTGCACTTCCTCTGAAACAGAGGGGAGTCCTGGAAAGGAAACATGGAAATGACATGCTGGCATTTACATTAGATCGGGAAGGACCATCTGAAGAGGACCCGGGCTATAGACAGAGAGACAGCCCTTGATTTCAGAGGGACAGTAGTAGTAGGCTGAGGAAGAAGGGCCACTGGAGAACACCATGTCATGTTAGTTGAATCCAGGGAGGGAAAACCTTGGGTCTGGATACCTGGCTCTGTTAGTAGTGGTCAAGCCCTGGGATACTACCTAAAGCAGCATAGGATGTTTAGATCTAGACCCTACTCCCCCAAAAATAATATGGTGCCCCAGCTTTCATATATCTTTCACAAAATACCAATTTGTAAAGTAAAATTTTGTTTTTCAAAAGGATCTAAAACCTATATGCCTAATAAATGTACAATGTTGAGATGCAGTTCAAGGGACCAGTGAATAATCAGGCCACATACAGGAACTGAAAATTAGCTTCCCAGAAGGGATCAGTCCAACTCCAATTTGTTTAAACTGGGAAGAAATTTGACATCTGTACCATCGGATAGAGAAACCCAGGCTTAACAAGAAATGCCTACCTTGTAGTCATCTCCAAACGCAAAAAAACAGACAGAATCACTACAAATTAAAGTAACAGTTATGATTTTTGAACACCCCTTGTGTGCCATGCACTGTGCTAAATTTTTGACATTTGTGATTTCATAGAATTTTCCCAAAACACCTACATGGTAGCTATTAACATTCCCATTTTACAAATGAAGAAAACGTGAGTCTCGGGGGGCCCAAGTTTCAGGACCAGGAAATATCAGAGCTGGACTTGGAATCCAGACTGCTTTGATTTCAAATCCTTCTTTTTCCCCACCTGTGGCTAGAGGTGGTGCCTGTCTCCTTAATGCTTCTAACTTCTCTTTCCTCTGCCACCTGAGCCCAGTCTTTCTTGAGTATTTTCTAGAAAGAAGCCTCATCAGCACTGCTCCTCCTTCTATTTATTTTTTCTTGGGTTTAGCTGCCAATTACAAACTAATCCTGCAACTCATTTATATCTGACGGCAGGAGGGAGGGCCCTGGCTCCTGACAAGCATGCCATGAGTACCAAAAAGAGAACACATAGACACTGGCAGGCGTCAAACCTAGCCAGAGTCTTATCAGGAGATAAGATGGGACCAGGGTACTGTAGGAATCCTGTGGAGAAGGGCTTGTGTCTTTGAACCCTTGGGCTGTTTTTTAAAGTCAGGCACCTCAATGTTTCTAGCTTGAATTCACAGATCACTATAGCAAGGCTCATTGGTAATCTTTTTAAGAAAATATATATTTAGCACCCGATCTGGGCAATCACTGGCACAAGGTTTTGCATTAGTGGTTGTGGGGAAGGATAGTTTGGCCAACCTCTCAGGCCAGAAAAAATTGGGGAGCCATCACCAATTTTTAGATCAAAGTGGAAATTATCCCATCAGATATTTTTGTTTGATTTGAAAGGGCCAGGGGCTCAAGTTGTGCACCTCTATCTACCTGAGGTAGGAGAGGAGGAAGTGCTCACCACTAGCCATGTCTCTGTTTTCCAGTCACAGTCCAGCACATAAATACTACCTGACCACAGACCCTATGAGCGGGGCTGTCTTCCTTTCTGACACCAACAGCCGGCGGGTCTTTAAGATCAAGTCCACTGTGGTGGTGAAGGACCTTGTCAAGAACTCTGAGGTGGTGGCGGGGACTGGTGACCAATGCCTCCCCTTTGACGACACTCGCTGCGGGGATGGTGGGAAAGCCACAGAAGCCACACTCACCAATCCCAGGGGTAAGGCCTTGCTTTTAAGCACTATCAGTAGCATTTGTTGGGGGTGTTTTCCATTTCCAAAAGTCTTACGTGTTTATCATTGCAAAAAGTCTTGGAAATTACCAAGAAATGATGATCCCGGAAATGTTCAGTCTACAATGCATCTCTCCTCCTAGACTTTTTCTAAATATTTGTGTGTGAGATTCACTAAAAATCAAACCAAAGGGGATTACATTAAACAAACTATTTTAGTAACTTGCTTCTTTTCCCTAAACGATATATCATGAACTCTTTTCCATGCCATTACTCTTCTATGTACTCATTTCTAATGGCTTTGTAGTATTCCGTCAAATGGTCGTCTCATCATGTACTTATCAACGCCCTTTTACTGGAATGTGGGCTGTTTCTGATGTTATTGTTATATAAAAACATTCTGATGTGTCATCCTTGCATACGTTCACGTGCTATAGGGTAGATTGACCATAGGTTTCAATTCTGAGTCCTTCAAAAAGTTGAACCTCTAAATGCCCACATTCAGTATTTTGCTTTCAATTATTCATCAGGTATTTACTGAGTGCACAGAGTTCTGTGGCTGCACAGATAAGTTCATTGTAGTGGAATAAATAAGACTTGGATGTGAGCCACTCTGATATGGGAAAGAGGGAGACGTGCTCTCTGACATGCAGGAAGACTTATGCATGGGGCCTCTGAGCCCAGAAAGACTGCTGTGCCTCGAAGTCAGATATCCTCCAGTGCAGCGTTTATGGTGTTGCAAGTCCTATGGCCAGTGACTTGTAGTATCTAAGCCTCGGGGTCCTGGTCAATAGAATGAGGACAATAACAGCATCTGTGCATACCTCCTGGGACTGCACTGAGCATCAAAATTAATATATCCTGTAAAAATGTTATGGATTACATTATTAAAGAGCACCAGATATCAAGGCCTGGCTTCGAATCAAAGCAGTAGTCTCGTGAAATCACACAATCAAAGTTGGGCAGGTTGCTTAAACTCTCTAAGCCTTGTTTTCCTCATCTTTATAATAGGGCTACACTGCTCAGTGACAGTACAGATTAAATATTAGCGGCAATGGAAGTGTCCAGTACAGTAGTGCCAGGCACACAGTAAAATCACCTAAATGGGCGCTCCTATTATTATTGTTACCTTGCACTGTAATACATTGTATCACATCATGGATCATAGCATCATAGCATGTTGAGTACCATATCTGGAGTGGTCAGATGGTAACTCTGTGGTGCAAATACTGTGTCATCGGCAATTATGCTCCCTCCTAATTGTGATTTCCTAATGATAAGCAAACAGTGGGGAGTGGAGAGAGCACTGAATTTGTATTTCGGATGCTGCATTGTGGTTTCCCTCTGTTTCTGGCTGGTTCCAGGACCTTCTCTTCCAGACCTCAGTTTCTCCTTAGAAATGATCAGGTTAAACCAGGTGTCGGTGGCTCACGCCTGTAATTACGCCTGTAATTCTAACCACTCAGGAGGCAGAGATCAGAAGGATCGTAGTTCGAGGCCAGCCCAGGGAAATAGTTCAAGAGACCCTGTCTCTAAAATCCCAACACAAAAATAGGGTTGGTGGAGTGGCTCAAGGTGAAGGCCCTGAGTTCAAACCCCAGTACCGCAAAAAAAAAAAAAAAAAGGAAGAAAAGAAAAGAATGAGCAGGTTGTGCTAAATGATCCCCAAGGCCCCTTTCAAATACAACATTCTACTCTTAGAATTAAAACAGTTTTCTGAGAATTTTTGTTCTCTCCAGGCATTTCCCAGTTGCTTCCATGCATGTGTGTTACTCCCCCCAAACTCCCCCCACCCCCCCTCCACACACAGATGGAGTGGCAGTGCAATTGCCCAAAAGCCTGTAATTAACCCAGATAGAAATGACAAGGGTGCCACAATATGCAGACACTTTGCAGTGGGGAGGAGAAAAGACGTCCATCTATTTAGCACAACAAAAGGAGGAAAACTGAAGTAATTAATCAGGGGACAGATCACTTCTATTAGCCTGTGCGGCCAACTTTGTAAACAAGAAGCCCAATTGTTCATGGAGTGCTCATCAGTCCTGGCAGATGGGAGAGAGAGAGAGGGCATGGCCAGGCAGACAAGAAAACTCCTGTGTTGGTGCTTAAAGTATGAAATTAATTGACATTCCAGGCAGGGCCACAGGAAAGACTCAGCCTTGAAGCCACCTAGTCCTCTGTGTGAAGTCCTCCCTAGCTGCCCAGCCAGAGGAAGAGTGGTGGGAACAACTGGTGCTCTGGTGGGGCCAGACTCAGAGTTCTCTGCATCCTACTGGCCAGGAAGAGACATAGGGACCCAAGAGCAACAGTCCCAAACCCACAAAGCACCTAGGCTTTCTCATAATCATAGCAGCCATTAGTGATTGCTAAAGGCTAATGATTACACATTAGACAGTATCCCTGCTTTATCAATGAGGTCACTGAGACTTAAAAGTGAAGTAGCTGCCCAAGATAACATGACCAAGAAGCTTCATCATTCATGTGTCCTCCTTTGCAAGCTCATCTTCTGTCGCCTGCCCCAGAGAAAATGGAGCAGAGCAAAAATGACCAGATCCTCCTTTATGTCACCACCACCGCTCTGGGCCTGTCATTTCCCATGGCACTCCACCTGGTTCTGACTCAGTCCTGTGCCTCCCCATCTCGACCTGACTCTCCTCAAGGGCACATCTCCCCTGTTATCCCTGAGATGGGAGATTGATGGGGGGTTGTCTGACTCCTGCAACTGTGGATTATAGTCACAGGAGTGCAAATGACATCACCCATGATGATGGTGTTTAAAAATGTGCCTTGATCACATTTCTAGGAGTGAGGCCAAGCTGCTGTGTGCTTAAAAATAAATAAAACAAAACACAACAACAACAAACTTTCCACTGGCCAGAAGTACCAATCCCACGGAGTGGTTCTCAGACTTTGATATGTGTCCTTGTCACCTAAGATGCTCATCAGAAATGTAGATAGGCATTCAAGCCCACTTGAGATCTTCTAAAGCAGCCATCTGCAGGGTCCATTGCAGCCAGCTCTCTAGCGGATTCTCACACACTCCTAAAAGAGAGAAACAGAGTGAGAGCAATCCCTTTATATGAGAAGTGAGAAAACTGTACAGAGATGTCCATTGACTTGTCTGAGGTCACACAGCTGAGTGAGAGAGAAAGTTAGGGTGAGATGATCTAGGGAGTGGAATGGAGGATTCTGAATATTAATCCTGACTCCTTGTTTTCATGTGCTTTCCTTAGACATTCAACAATATTCTCTACACAAATCCACAGAATTCTTTTTAGACTGTAATGACCTTTTGGAATAAGGATAGAAAAACTACAGGATGATTGTCTTGGAAGAAAAGAAAAAGTTACTAAAGAGGGGATTTGATTATTAGTTTTGCAGGGTTTCAGAAACAAGTTGATTTTTTGGTGGGGGGGCAGTACTGAGGTTTGAACTCAGAGCCTTACACTTACTAGGCAGGTACGCACTACCACTTAAGCCACTCTGCCAGCCCTTTTCTGTGTTGGGTATTTTCAAGATGGGGTCTCTCAAACTATTTACCTGGGCTGAGCTGAAACCACAGTCCTCCTCATCTTTGCCTCCCAAGTAGCTAAGATTACAGGCATGAGTCATTGGTGCCCAGCTCAGAAATAAGTTAATTTAGATCATTCACCATGATTATGAAAAATGCCCTTCCTGCTTCTACCTCTAGTGCTTCATAAACCCCCAAAAGTTATGAAGCCAGTTTCTGTTCCTGGCTGAAGTAAGAGATAGAAATCTCTGGAGAAAGCAAAGTGAGAGGACCAGAACCTGGGGGTGGGAGAATCTGAGAACCTGGGTTCTAATCTGTGAACAAGGCACTCTGAGCCTCTGAGAAGGGCTGGGGATGTAGCTCAGTGGTAGAGCACTTGGCTCGCATGCACAAGGCCCTAGGTTCAATTCCCAGCATCAAAGCCTCTGTGCTTCCATCTCCTCATCTTTAAAAAGACATTGAAGGGTTTGGTTGTGGCTCAGTGCTAGAGCTCATGCCTGACATGTGCAAAACCTGGAGTTTGATCCCAGCATAGCAAAAATGGGGAGAGGGGCTGAAGGTTATGGGAGGATTTGCTCAGATCATGCCAGGAGCTGCTTTGTCAAGTCACAAAACTGAATGCATGAGTCCTTATCTCTAATGCTGTGTTTCTGTTTTGCTTTCCCCACCCCAGGCATTACTGTGGACAAGTTTGGGCTGATTTACTTCGTGGATGGCACCATGATCAGACGCATTGATCAGAACGGGATCATCTCCACCCTGCTGGGCTCTAATGACCTGACATCAGCCCGGCCCCTCAGCTGTGACTCTGTCATGGATATTTCCCAGGTGAGATTTTATCTGCTGGAGCCCTGGACCTGTGCACTCTTCCTGTCATCTGCCACACAATCAACCCACTAGCCACTCTTCTCAGTACTGGACAAGCCTGTAAAAGGGGCCCATTTGGTGCAGGGCCTGTCATGAGCACCCACGGTACAAAGATGTGGAATAAACTGCCTTCCTCCCAACCCACAACTGTCCTGAGAGTTCACCATCAGAAGTAACAAGTATGTGGACATAGTGGAGGCTCAGGGGACAGTGACAAAATCTTCCCAGGGTCAGCAGATAGGGTATGAAATTAAATTCATAGCTCCCTGAATCTGCTGTTTGGCAACATGTGCAGGCAGTTGTATGTTGTCTGTTCTCTTTCTATACCATAAACTACATGAGGACAGGAATTCTGTCTGTCTTTTCCTATCCTATTAACCAGGGTAGCTGGTATGCAGCAGGAGCACAGCCCTATTGATCTATTAATTGATTGAGCATTGAATCCAAGCTTTGCCGCTCAGTACCCTACTAACTTTAGACAGGTTCCCAAGGTTTTTTGAACCTCGTTTTTCACAACTGTAAAATGGAGGTAATTCACATCAGCATTGGCAGGGTTGCCTTGAGAGCGAAAATGCGTGACGACTCACAGAGAGTTCCCAGTGCTTCTCAGAGCTTTGGAGGTAAAGGACAGCAGCAGCTCCACGCTCACTTTCACAAAGAAGGTCGCACACGTGCCAGGACTTGAAGGTTGAATAGGGGTTTGCTGGGAAAAAGAAAAAGAAAGGAGGCATTTCATACAAAGGGATGGCACGCACAAAGACACAAAGATGTTACTGAGCCTGGCACATTCAAAGAACATTGAAACTTGATTGGGAGACACCAGGAACCCAGGAGAAACCCAAGAGAGAGCCAGTGACTAGCTATCCCAGATGACCTTGGTACATCCTATGATGACTTGGCAAAGGATGCATCTTTATTGCTAGGTTCTGGCCTGTGCTCCATCCATGGGCATCCATCTCACCAGCATTACCAAAACCTACAGAATAGAAGGCTGACTGTGGCCTCACTTCTCATGCCTGCTTCTGTTACTCACACATATCTTGGAGCTTCCTCCCCGAGCCCCATGGCTACTGGTAGCAGTGCCAACACCTATGTCACATCTCCACTGGAAGTTGATACCATTCCCCTCTATGCCAACTACTGTGATGTACGCTCCAGAATGGAATCTGTTCTCTGCCACTCGTCTTTGCAATTTGGCAGGCTTCCCCTCACTGGCTCGAGAGTTTCCCTTTCCAGACTGAGCAAGCTGGAATTACCCATTAGGAAGCTGTCATGGCCTGGGGATGTGCATACAAGTATTTTCAGTTCTCAAAATGGGCCTTCAACCAGCCAGCACTGGGCGCTGAGCATTTTCAATCCACACATTGGAAAATTGCTTAACTTTAGACAGAAGTGCTGCCAAATAGTCAGATCAAAGCCTTGGAAGATAGCTGGCATAGATTTCAGTGGAGAAAAACACAAAAACCCACACTTAGATTCAGAAATCCTGAACTAAAGTCTCTATACCCTTGGCCCTTACTACCTTCGATGAATCTAGGCATAGATTTTTTTTTTAACCAAAGACTCTAACACAGGCATATATTTTGCCCACGCACATGGGCAGGAGGATTTGGCTTTCATTCTCAGAGCTTCCTCTGTTACCTACACTGGCCTGCTTCACTATCCCATGGGGAACAGGGAGGAAAGCCAGGGAGTGAACCCAACTAGGAGACAAGAGGGGAAAACCAAGGAACTTGGACCAGCTCTTCTGGGAGGAGACAGGCCAGGTAGAAAAAGAGACTATAGGGAAACATCGAATTCAACCTCTCAAAGAACTGGGTGTCATGTCTCAGCTCAGCAGGTATGACCACCACCAGGCAAAGTGTAATTCTGTATTTAGGGACCAAATGAGACCTTGTATGCTTTGGGCTCTGTTAAAAACGGGGACAGAGAGCTGCCACAGTAGTCTCCTGGGGATAGACATTAAAGAGGAAGAAACAGATTTGGTGAAGGAAAAATGCGCTTATGAATGGAGAGCCATGTGCACCATTCCATCAGGGATGCAGGAATGAATTTTTTAATGAAATCATGTACGTAATTTCCTAGCACAGCACCAGGCGGCTGGTAATAGGATGTAAAGGCTAGTTCCCTTTAAAATCTATAAAGAACTGCCTCATATATTGTCTTATTTGATTCTCACTCTATGTAGTGTTTATTCCTCCCTTTTACATATGAGGGAAGAAGTTCATTGTTTAAGAAACTTGAGTGAGATGACACTTCCAGTGACCATGGAAGTGACATAGGAAGTGAAGTGTCCAGATGCCATCCCTCATGCTTTCTGTACCATTGTTCATGTGGCAATGCATTTCTGCACATGGGTCAGTCTGTGACAAGGCACTCAGCTCAGAATGCCCTAATGGCAACAAAGAATGCTCAGAAGGATCGGAGGGCAAGGAGTCCCCTCCACAGTAGGTCCCTCAAACCTGGGAGCTGGAGGACCGCAGAAGTTCTAAGGTTGAGTCCCTCCATTTTGATGATGTGAAATTTAGCCATGGCAGGATCGTCCCTAATAGGAGGTGAAACCAGAGAGGCTTAGGCATGTGTCCGATGCAGAAACCTCATGCAGGCTGTGTGGCAGAGCAAGGGCCAGTGAGAGCAGTGCCCGTCTCCTTTCCCAGGCACCTCTGTGCACACAGTGGTGGAAGGGCAGACCATAGGAAGTGCTTGCTGTTCATTTCTTCCTCTTTCCTCTTGGCTTCTCCCTCCACCGACTTCCTCTTCCCCCTCCCCACCCACCCACTCATCAGGGCACCATCTTTTCATCGTAATGACAGCAGAAAGGTCTCCACAGCAGGTCCCCAAGGTACTTCAGGACGAGGAGCATAAAATATTTAGCAGCCAGTGTTGACAAGAAATGGGTTTTAGGAAATTGAAATTTCTCCTGTCAGTTTAGAGCAAGCTGTGTTCTTGATGCAGCTGAACGCTAGCAGGACCATGCTTGGGAGAGCACAGGGAAATAAAAGCAGCAGCCTGGCAGCTCCTTTGCTCTGCAGATAGTCAGGGACTGGGGCTGGGTAGGGAGACAAGAAGGCTTTTAGGATGCAGGACCTGAGGACTGACTGCTGTGAAGGACTGAGAAGGAGCCCACCCACTCTGAGACTGGCCTGAGCAAAGGGACAGAGAGAGATGGTCTTGTGGCCACCCTATATAATTTATTGGCTGTCTCTTTACAGTGGTAAGCAGTCACATGACCATTGTAGAAAGTTTTCAAGTCACAAAGGAGAATATTAAAATCACCACTGGTCCCATGATAGCTAACATTTTGGTATATCTCCTTCAAGCTTTCATCTTCTCTCTATCCATGTCTCTTACTTGTTGTGTTTATGTCCTTATGGGTGTCATGCTGTCCTTACAGTTGTGTAATCTGTTCTTTTTATTTAGCACATAGCAAACATTTCACTGTGTCATTGCGTATCCACCTATAACATCATTTTTAATATTTATACATCATGTTCTAACTTATGAGTGAATGAAATATGCTCTAATTTACTTACCCAGTTCTCACTGGGCATTTGAACTGGATCCAGTTTTCACCATTATTAAAATGGCTGCGAAAAATGTGCTTGTAGCCAATGGTATGCAAGAGCAAATTCCTGGAAGGGAGCATTCTTATCTACATGTTCATACTTGTTTGAATAAACCCCAAGTTGGGCCAAGTTTCAAGGGTTTGTAGGGTTCTCTGGAACCCTAAGGTTATGAGTCTTTAAGTAGGGCTGAAAATTCAGCTGGAGAAAGTACTTGTCAGGACTTCTGAACTACATATAGTATGACTGTTCCTCTTGGGGACACAATTAGCAAAGGGTTTCTCTTTGTGCCAGCACCTCCCAGGGAGACAGACTCAACAATCCAGTTCCATGTCTGTTGAGCAAAACCTTGCCCACCTCAGACCTTACCATTCGCAGTCCCCTAACTAGGTGCCCACCTGAAGACCCACCATGACCCCAGCCAGTTTCCCAGCCTGGTGGAAAAGAGGCTCCGTGGGGGGGCCCTGGACCTCTAAAGGTCCCATTGCCAGCTTCTTTCATCCCTTCCAGGAGGACTTGTTCTCTAGGGTCCTAGAAACCATCACGGAGAGCAGCAGTACTTCCTAAACGTCAGTGTGTACAGAAGTCACCCCTTCCCCAGGGAGGCGGTGTTAAATACAGACACAAATTCAGAAGGTGTGGGGTGAGCCTGCCACTCTGCATTACTGACCAGCTGCCGGTGATGTTGATACTGCTAGTGTGATTCTTTAAGGCAGTCCCTTCTGGCCCATTCTTTAAGGTGGTAATCTATAGTCTCTATGCCAGACAGAGACCGTGGTTATTTTGTCTTTACATCCCCAGCACCTACTCATGTATTAATCCTCAAACTGAAAGATTTGAGAAATTGTCTTTCATACATGTATCACATCAGCCATTCAAAAAAGAATTTTTTTTTAATCTCTGAACATTCACTTCAGCCTCCACACTCTACCTGCCTTCCCCGTCCTCTTCCAGATCAGTTGTCATGATTTGAGCACTTATCATGGGTCAGGCCCTCTGCACGGTTGTCGTTCTTGTTTTCCAGATGTGAATATTAAGACTCAGAGAGGCCAGGTAACTTGGCCAACGTTGTAAGTGGTGGAGCTAAGAGCTGAACCCAGGCTTATCTGACTCCAAAGTCTCCCCTCTCACATACTCCTTTTTGCTGTGATAATACACTTCTTCAAGTTCTGACATCTGATGGAGACCATTAGATGTCTCTGTGGCAGCTGTTTCGTGATTTCCCTCTGATTAGGGGCTGGCAGGCTATATGAGGATGGGCCAAGACTGTGTGTGAAGACACTATTGCAGTTACAGGAGGTTTGTACTGATTAGTAGTGGGCATCTTGCCAATCATTTGAGTGCTGATGTCTCTATTCTCAGGTTCGACTGGAGTGGCCCACAGACTTAGCCATTAACCCAATGGACAACTCTCTCTATGTCCTCGACAACAACGTGGTCCTGCAAATCTCCGAAAACCACCAGGTTCGCATTGTTGCCGGGAGGCCCATGCACTGCCAGGTCCCTGGCATTGACCACTTCCTTCTGAGCAAGGTGGCCATCCATGCAACCCTAGAGTCAGCCACCGCTTTGGCTGTCTCCCACAATGGGGTCCTATATATTGCTGAAACTGATGAGAAAAAGATCAACCGCATCAGGCAGGTCACCACCAGCGGAGAGATCTCCCTGGTTGCTGGGGCCCCCAGTGGCTGCGACTGTAAAAATGATGCCAACTGTGATTGTTTCTCTGGAGATGATGGTTATGCCAAGGATGCAAAGCTGAACACCCCATCTTCCTTGGCTGTGTGTGCTGATGGGGAGCTCTACGTGGCTGACCTTGGGAATATCCGAATTCGGTTCATTCGCAAAAACAAGCCTTTCCTCAACAGCCAGAACATGTATGAGCTGTCCTCACCCATCGACCAGGAGCTCTACCTGTTTGACACTAGTGGCAAGCATCTGTACACCCAGAGTCTTCCCACAGGAGACTACCTGTACAACTTCACCTATACAGAGGACGGTGACATCACGCTCATCACAGACAACAATGGCAACATGGTGAATGTCCACCGAGATTCTGCTGGCTTGCCCCTCTGGCTGGTGGTCCCAGATGGCCATGCATACTGGGTGACCATGGGCATCAACAGTGCACTCAAAAGTGTGACGACACAAGGACACGAGTTGGCCATGATGACATACCATGGCACCTCTGGCCTTCTGGCAACCAAAAGCAATGAAAATGGATGGACAACATTTTATGAGTAAGTAAAATGGTCTTGATAAGGCTATTTGATGGTTGTGTTCCAGGAGATGTATTGTAGAATTAGACATGAATTGATGGAGTGTTTGGTTTTTTGGATGTATTTCATTTTAATTCAGGATTTGGGATGCAAACCTTCACCTGTAACATGTTCATATTCAAGACGATTTCTCATAAGGAGAAAATGGTGTAGTGCAGAAGGCATGAACTATGGAATAGTTTCAACAGGTCTCATTTTTCCATTTTCATACATGAGTACACAGTATTTCTACCATATCCACCCTCCTACACTCTCCTTATATCTAGCAGAGGCTTCTTAATTGGTGTGGTCAGAGAAACAGCAGGTCAGCTTATTATAGTCCTAGCCAAAGTTACATACATATTTCTGAAGCATTTCTCTGTGAGATATTTTAATGAATGGATCTTGTAACAGCTCTCTTTCTACTTAGAATTTTTTAAGCTTCTTTTTGAGATCCTAACTATGTTCCAGACAACTGAGACTGCTGAATGAATCGGTCACCGTCAGACAAGTCTGCAGGAGCTGGGGGAGGACCTATTCTTGTTGAACATCAGCTATGGGCTAGGAACTGTCATTTCAGCAGCTCAGGATGATGGGTGATAGTTTTCACTTTACAGAAAGAAAAGCTCAGGCTCAGAGAAGCTATTTGCCCACTGTTATATAGTGAGAACACAGCAGAACAAGGATTGACCTGAGTCTAGCTGAGGCTAGAGCTCTTGCTCTTTCTGTTCTCCCTCCGCCCACCTTCCCAGTCTCCCCCAAGTTGGTTAATCTCAATGAATCTGGATCTTTAAACCCTAAGCTTTTCTCAAACCAGATCATCAGTTTCTCACAGTCCTAGAATCCAAAGGAAAAGATCTGTAATTGATGTATAAATATAATTCGCACCCAAAAAATGTCACAGCAGTTGGTACAAAGTTCACTAACTAAATTCCTGTCTCTAAACAAGGGCTTGTTAATTGAAAGGAAAAAAAGAGACAGGGACAAAGATTCAAGAAAACAGTAATTATTTTGATTAACTCATTGAAATGGAAATACACTAAATAATTCAATTTTCTTCATTGCCCATAGAGATCTCTTATACATTATTTAGCCAATACAGGGTTTCTTTGTCAGAGAAAGTCTGTTCACTCAATTAGTTCCCAAGGTCACTACTTCAGAGGCCAACCTGAATCCTTTCAGGTCACTGCCACCGTCACTCTCCACCGCCCCTGAAATCTAAAACCCTTCCCTACACCTCTACAGGAAAGGAGCCCTCCCTCTTTCCCTGATGAAATAGACAAGATTGGTGTTTTATGAAAAAGGAAAAGTTATTACAATGCTTTCTATAAAACAGCACTTAAAATTCCAAACAATCTACTTCATAACAGAATGCAGGAAGAGCATTGATTCTTGCTAGCACAAACCACAACTAGAAGATAAAAGCCTAACTTTGAAAACGGAGCTCACTTTTTTTGAGGTCCTACTGTGTGCCAGGTTAGTCTTCCATTTAATCTTCACAGCACGTAGGAGTGATCTCACAGAGGTCACTTCCCAGACACTCTAGCTCCAAGAAATTAGGTAACGAGCTTAAAACCACATGGTGGGTGTAGAGCAGAGCCAGAACACAAGTCCGTTTCTAGCACTGCACTAGTTATGTTTCCTGTGTCCCTCATGGCTTGTCTGTGTGATAGAGGTGAAAACAGTATCTATTTTACAGTGAGAGTCTGACATTCAAAATTTCAATGATCTAAAGCTCAATGATATGTGAAAAAAAAATATGATGTGATTGTAACAGGGGGACTGTATTGGGGGAAACCAGCGAGAGGAGGGGATATGACAGAATTGCATTATATGTATGCATGAAAATAGCATAGTGAAGCCCACTAAAAACAGTTTTAAAAGGAGAGGGGAGAGAAGGGGTTAAGAAAGAGTAATAGGGGGAATTTATCAAAGTACATAATATGCATGTATGTAAATATCACAATGAAACTCTTTGTACAATTAATTTGTGTGACTACGTTGTTTGGGGTTTTTTTGGTTTTGTTTTTGTTTTGTTCTTGCAGTACTGAGGTTTGAACTCAGGGCCTCACACTTGCTTAAGCAGGCATCCTATCGCTTGAACCATTCCACCAGCCTTTTTTTTGTGTTGGGTATTTTTGAGATAAGGTCTCACTTTTTGCCCAGGCTGGCCTCGAATCTTGATCCTCTTGATCTCTGATTTCTGAGTAGCTAGGATTATAGGTGTGAGCCAGTGGCACCTGGCTGCTAATAAAAAGTTTTTAAAGCCAGGCACTGGTGGCTCACACCTTTAATCCTAGCTACTTGGGAGTCTGAGATCGGTAGGATCATGGTTCCAGGCCAGTCTGGACAAAACGTGCAATCCTATCTCCAAAATAACCAGAGCAAAAATGACTGGAAGTGTGGCTCAAGCGCTAGAGCACCTGCCCAGCAAGTGTGAAATCCTGAGTTCAAACGCCAGTACCACCAAAAAAAAAATTTTTAAAGACAGTTCAATAATAACTGCTATTGTTATTTCAAGCAATATCGTGGCAGTACCAATAATCACAGAAAGGTTGTTTAGACATAAATGTATCAAGCAGGATCTGATTACAAGTAAACTCATCAAAGGAGTAGACAAAAGTTTTAATAGAGGTAAGGATCAGAGGTCAGGTAAAAGAGCAGAACCAAGTGTCAAGTCTAAGGCATCAAACTATGAACTAGGTAGGGGGTCAAGTCCCAAAAATATCCAAAGTGAACTGGAAAATGGCTTGCAGAGGGAACTCAAGCAAAGTATCTCAGCTCAGACTGAGAACAAAGCAAGGGTGCCAAATACCTGTTAGCCATGTGATATGGGGACAGACTGGCTGGCATCCAGACCCAAATCTCCACCAGACAGAAATAATCCCTACCCTATCCCATTCTGGACCATTCTGAAGATCCAACAACTAGATACATGACCAGCTGTGGTGGTGCACATCTATAATCCCAGCTGCTCAGGAGGCAGAGAAAGGAGGACCACCATTCAAAGCCAACCTGGGCAAAAAGTTAGCAATACCATATCTCAAAAACAAGTCAGTCATGGTGGTACATACCTGCAATCCCAGCTACTTGGGAGATGTAGGTAGAAGGATCTTGGTTTCAGGCTGGTCCAGGCAAAAAGCACAAGGCTCAATCCAAAAAACAGACTAAAAGCAAAAAAGGACTGGGCATGGCCAAGTAGGCTCTGAGTTTAGTCCCTCATGCCAGCCAAAAAAACCCCAAAACCCTAAACACATACTGAAGGTAAAATACCGTGCGAATGGTAGAGCACTCTAGAAGTAAGTGTGTGGTGTTACTTATCACTGTGGTGCTTCTTAACAAGGATTTGTATGGGTTTTACCCAGAAACTATTTGCCCAAGTGAAGTTTCTCCCTCTAGCTCCATGAGGCAGCTTACTGCACTCAAACCCCAATGTTCTATATAAAAAAAAAAAATCAGCCCAGGCTTGCCGGTGGCATGGATTATTCCTGCAACAAGTTTTAGGTTGGCTTTATTGATCCTCTTAGCAGATTAAATAATACATCTAACATAACATCACATACCTTGGAGCGGCTTGACTCAAAGAGTTCACAGTCCTAGTGATCCAAGGTAACTCTTCTCTCGACCCACAAGGTCTGCTGGGTAAACCCTGCAGTGTAGGCCCCAGCTCTAGGGAGAGGGACATCGCTGCTTTCAGATGTGGCTTCTAGTCACATAGCATTTGATCGCCAAGAAAATGTCCTGATAGTACAAGGCTGGTTCCAAAATTGACTTGCTGGTTGGTATGAGCAATCAGCCTCCCCAAGTTTTGTTTTGTTGGTCTTTTGTAGTTCTGGGAACTCAGGGCTGCGTGCTTGCTAGGCAGGCACTCTGCCGCTTGAGTATTACCCCCCAGAACTCCAGTCTTTTTAATCTGTTTTGCTTTAATTATTTTAGTTAGTTTTTAATGTTAGATCAAATTCTTATTTATGCCTTCTGCACGGCTGAGATTACAGGTGTGAAAACTTCCAGGCCTTCCCTAAATTTCCTAGGGGAAAGTGGCTCTGGCCTCTCATAGGGCCCTGTGATGGCTCCTGTTAAAACTATGCTCACATTAAATATTGTGATATTCTTACTAAATTACCTAATTTATCTCTGTATTCAACTTAGGGCTTGTCACTTTGTAGATACTCAGTAACTATTTTACAAATAAAATGTAGATTCAAGAGGGAAAGGAGATAAAGAAAGAAAAAAAAATACACTGCAGTAAGAAGAACGCTAGACCCAAATCCCAGCTCCAGCAAGACATAGAATTAAACTCACACGCTTCAGATGAAAAGACTTGGCTTCCAGGTTTTGGGAGGGGGGGAACATAAGAGTTAGAAAGAGTATCACTACCAACCTTATAATAAAAAGAAGCCAGACAATGGGCAAATTCATGAGTTCTCCTTGAACTCCTTCTCTGAGGCCACACGGAAACCAACTGGTCCAAATCTGAGCTCTAGCTCACCTGAGGTGGATGCAGCCAGACTCATGAAAGAGGAGTTCAGCTAGGGCGGTCTGCATGCTTGGAAGGCCAAATGCATACAGACACAGACTGTGAAACCTGTGGAGGTGGCAGAAACTGGGGAGCCAGTTCTGGATTTTTCTCCACAAGCCCTACCTGGGGTTTCTCCACAGTAAAGAATAGGGAAAGATTTGAGGAAATGTCCCTTGTGGTAGACCTTGGGTTGATGTACAACAGCTGCTGAGGGACAGCACAAACACCTGCCTGCTCCACCCAGACCCTCCTCACCCTGTCTCCACAAAGGAGTAAAATCTCACCTGCGAAGAGAGGGACAATAGGAGTCCTTCTGAGACACTGGTGAACCCCCACTGAATGAGGGAAGAAAAAGAGGACAAACAATAACTACTATGGGAAAGGAAAAGGAATAGGTAATAAGCCCAGAGCCACTGCCTAAGGGAGGCAGGAGTCCTGAAGAGGCCACAGTTCCTCGTGAGCCTCAGGCTGAGGCTTTGTCAGGGCGATAGGGAACCCTCCCACAACCACTCACAGCCCACCAAAAAACCAGAAGCCAGTGAGGAGAAGTGTACTGCTGGGAGAAGGACAAGAAAGGGGCCAGCACAAGGAAGGAGACCCTCTGTGAGACCCAGAACAAAGGGGGACCTTAAGCCAAAGCTGGAGTAGACATTGAAGCAAAGAAAAGAAACTCATCAAGCAAACCAGTTTCTTACCCTAAACACAAAGAATTGCCGGAGGAACTTAAAACCTGTGGTACACTGAGGTTAACCATAGAAACAACATTCTTCAGCACCAGCCCAAACTACACTGACTCACACTCCCTTTCTAAAGTCCTAGCAGGAGGAAACTCATAGCTATTTCCATCCTGTGTGCTACCCTAGATGTGGCATTTTCAACCAAATATGCCAAAGGGCAGGAAAAAGCAAAAAGCAATCATCAGTACCGCACTCAGATATGACACTGATGTTGAAACTACCTTTCAGGGAATTTTAAATAACTATAATTATATTAAAAGCTCTAATGGAAAAGGTGAACAATGTGCAAAACCAGATGGATAATTTCAGCAAAGAGATAGAAACTATACAAATCAAATGGAAATGCTAGAACTAAGAAGAACACTTATAAAGATGAAGAATGCCTTTGATAGGCTCGTTGCTCCTTCTGACACACTGCGACATGGCTGAGGAAAGAAGACAGGTCAATAGAAACTACCCAAAGTCAAACACAAAGAAAAGATGAGAAGGAACTACAGAGCAGGGCATTCAAGAGGAACAATATCAAATGGTCTAATGGACATGTTACTGGAATTCTAGAAGAGGGGACAAAACAGGTAGAAGAAATATTTGAGAAAACAACTGTCAAGGGTTTTTCATACTTAGTAATGGATGAGAGATCCAAAAAGATCAGAAAATACCAAACAGAATGAACACACAGATACACACACAGACACACACACTCATACTTCTAGGCATATCTTACTCAAACTGTTGAATACAAAGGAAAAAGAGAAAATCTTAAACACCACCAGAAGAAAAAGGGAGGGGGTTATTTTATAAGAAGAAAAAAGATAAGAATTATAACAGACTTCTCATCAAAAAAACCATGCAAGCTAGAAGACAGAAGAACAGAAAGAACTCAAAAAACAAAACTCAAAGACTGTCTACTCAGATATGGTACTTACCAAAAAAAAAATCCTTCAAATGAAGATGTTCTAAAGGTTCAGACAGAGATAAGGGAATCAAGAAAGGTTACTGAAGGGCTGGCAGCATGGCTAAATGGCAGAGAGCCTACCCAGCAAGCCCAAGGTCCTGAGTTCAAACCCCAGCACTGCAAAAAAAAAAAAAAAAAGAAGGGATACCAAGGCACCTAGGCATTAAAGAGAGTGAATAGCCATGACTAACCCTCAGGCTGCAGGACAAAGTGGAGGAGGATTAGGATATGGCTCCTGCAGCCACTTGGAAGAAGCCATAATCATGGTAGACACAGCCACTATTAAAGGTAAGGCAGTGAGGGAAGAGAATGAAGGGAAACTTGTCCTGTTCTCTTGTCTCTTTCTACTGCCTCCCATTGACTTAGCCTAAGGCAAAGCAAGCCAAAAGAGGAGCCTGGTAATGCATTCTGTAGGCATCAGCCTCTGAGGACACAGAGAAGGCAGAGAGAATGGTTCCTGGGAGGGAAACAAAATAGCCAGCACAGAGACCAAGTGACCGTGAAATTCATGCTGAGGACTTGCTTATAGGAAATGGGTAGCAAGTACAAGTTTGGACTGCAAAAGTCCTCAAATGCCCTGATGTGGTTTCAGAGTAGCCAATGTTGTAGTGATGCCATCCATTACAGTGTCCCAGGACCAAGGGAATTACTGGAGTTCATGACTTGGAACTCTTAATTATTCACAGATGACACTGTAACCAGTTCCCTTGTTTTAATGTAGTGCTGTATGGAACAACCACAAATGAAAATCATAAAAATCAAATCGTTATTTTCCAAGCAAAAAGTCAAGACCAGCAAAAGTTTAATATTAGAGAGGCAATTTGGCCTTTTCTTGCTAGCTAAGCATCGTAAGTGGCTTGGGATGAAGTATCAAGTGTGAAGAAGAAAGCCTTTGCAGTGTGTGTTTAGATCCCCTTCAGCAGTCCTCTTCTGAAAGTTGAGTTCACAGCAACTCTATGAATCTTTTATGTGTTTTATTTCACCATGCTCCAAAGATGCTTTGAGAAAATGGAGTGGAAGGAAATAAGGGGAAGCCAGTCATCTGGTCCTCTCTGGCTCCCCACAAAAGTCCACAGTGGTGGCCAAGCAGAGCATCTTGAAGGGGAAACTGTCAGTCTTCTTGACCTACCTGAGCATTTTTCCTTTAACATGGTGATGAACACACAGGTCTTAGTCTGAAACAGCATTGTTTTTGTGGAAAGCTTGATGAAAGAATAGTTCTTTAAGGCAGACAGACCTGATTTTGACTCTATGCTCTTACTAGCTATGTGATTTTAGGCAAGTAGCATATCCTCTCTAAGCCTCATCAACACCATTTGTGAAATGACAATAATCATACCTACCCCAAAAGATGACTATGAACGTGATGATTGATACCTAAATGGTATTGTGGGAATATTAGTGAGCTTTACCTTCCTCAAATGGAGTTGGGGAGGTAAAACAGATAAAGGTCTTAGTTGCTCTCAGTCACATCTTGACAAATCAACAAAAATACCTAATATTTACTTATTTATTTTTTCATTCATTCAATGAACATTATTGAGTACCTTCTACTTGCTGGTTATTCCTCTAGGCACTGAGAATACAGACAAGGTCCCTGTCCTCAAGGAGCATATATTCTAGTTGAAGGAGACAGACAACAGATAAATAAACAAGATAGTAAGTATAATAAAGAGAATAGAATAAGATACCATGATAGAGATGGGGGGGACCTACTATTTTAGAAATGGTGTTCAGGGAAGGCATCATTGAAATGGGTGGTATTTGATTTGAAACATGAACAATGAAAGGAACTAGCCATCAGTCCTGGAAGTAGTATTCCCCACAAAGGGAACAGTTAAGTGTGTCAGTCCCCAGCATGGATCAAGGGTTGGCACATCTGGATAACAGAGCAGGTGCAGTGAACCCCAGGAAGTACAGAAAAGCAACGATTAAAAGGAAGTTAGAAAGAGAGAGAGGAAGGAGTGAGGTCACACAGCCAACATTCATTCACATTATTAAACATCTGCAATATGCATACAGAAGTTAGTAGTTGAAGTCCCTTCCACAAGAGTTGGCATTCCAATGAGGACAGTCTCCTGGGGTCCTGAAGGCACAGGTATCAAGTTTGCATTCCACTGTGAATATGTTGCCTCTTTGGTCTTCACAGTGGTTCATTTATAGAAGAGGAAGGAGAGGTTATGCTATGTAACCTGCCTGAAGTACTATCATTTATGATGGGGCTTTGAAGATTAGGAGGAAAACAGAACTGAGTGCCATCCTCTGGAGTGATATTGCCAGCATGTGGAGAGCCAGGATTCAAAGCCTAGACCTTATAGCTCTACAGACCTTCTCATGCCAACTGGTCCATTTCTCATGGTTAGAAAGAAAACATGCCAGGGCTCCTTGGGTTCCCATAATTAAGACTACCATATCAGTCATAACTAAGCCAATATCCTGACACCATCCAATCATGGGGCCGGGGCTTGAGGCAGCCACTTTGAGTGTATAGAGTGCAGAAAACTGCCCCTTCCAGGTCCTTGCACTGAGTTGGGGCAGCTCTCAGCAGCTCTACAAAGCAGAAAGCATTCTACAGAGGTGGCCCACAAGGCAGAGGTGTTCAGGGTCCAGAGGATGGACAGCTCCAGTTCTTCCCATGCAGAGTCAAAAGGAATGGTGCTCCGACAGGGTAATCACAAGTATTGATCAAGCAGAAGAGAGATCCAATGGCATCTCTCAAACTCTGGAAAGTACTAAAATGAATGAACAGGAGACAAGTCTTTATAAATTGGCTGTTCTATTTGATGTTCATTTAATTAAGACATTCAGTCCTTCTAATGGAAAGTGTGAGGAGTAGAAATGACTAGTTTTGGACCTTCTCGGATAAAACGAAAACCAGATCTGGAAGGCATGGGGCTCAATTTAATTATGCATTATAGGCTACCTTTGATAATAATTTCAATTGTCTCCCTTGATACAAAGCCTCTTTCTGTCTTGGAGACTAAAACTTTGGGGAGATGCCTAGGGAGATTGCTAAAGTATCATTTAATGGCATAGTTGCATCCATATTTGTACATTCAGCAAACACGTATCATGTACCTACTGTGTGTCCATCTCTGTCAAGGCCTGCAGAATAGGCCTTGTGAATGTGAATGAATCATATTCTCTCCTCTCCTGCAGAATAGGAAAGAGGCTTTGTATGCCCAATCCTGCATTCATTTATTCATTCAGTCATTTATTTGTTCACTCTCTGCCTGTCTTCTCTATGTCGGTCTCCATGCTGATGAAGGAGGGATGAACTGAAAGCCAGCCCTACCAGGTCACAGTGCTGGCAGGTGGTAGAATTCAGGTGGTGTGAGTTCACATTCCCAGCCTGGTGCTCTGACTCCACAGTCCTGTCCTGATCTGGGGCACTGAGTCCCAAGAGAGAACCAGCTGGTATTGCAATCCAGGAGAGGCATTCTGGAATAGAGCAGAACACTCTCCCATGTCTTTCACAGTCATCCTGGGCAGGGCAGAGGTGTTCTTTCCACTCTATGGATTAGAAAAGGAAGACTCACAGGGGTAAACCATTTCCCTGCAGCTGGATATCAGCAGGTGTGGTCAGATCTTGAGAACTGTGTGCCAACTCCTGAGTGAGGAGTGATGGGAGACAAGGAAATCCAGCCAGAAAGAAAAGCAAAGCACGCAAAGCCATGGTATGAGGTAGAACACAGCAAACCCCAATTACAGCACCCACTATGGTTCTGTTACTCAGTACCACTACTTGGTTTTCAGGTACGACAACTTTGGCCGCCTGACAAATGTGACCTTCCCTACTGGCCAGGTGATCAGTTTCCGAAGTGACACAGACAGCTCAGTGCACGTCCAGGTAGAGACCTCCAGCAAGGACGATGTTACCATAACCACCAACCTGTCTGCCTCAGGTGCCTTCTACACACTGCTGCAAGGTAAGCCTGGCAGGGCTTGGGGTCTTTGAGACCCAAAGAGGGGGAGGAGGATGGCACTAATAACAGGTGACTACAGGAGCAACCCAAGAACAGGAAAGAATTACAATTGGTTTCTCTCTGTTTTGCCCCTTAATTTGGAAAACACAAGCCAAAGTCCTGTAAATTCTCTCTCAGAAGCTTCGGAGTAATATTTTGTTGGTCCATCCCATTATCATCAGAACAAAGGGGACAGAATCCATTAGCTGCTAATCCAGGTGACCTTGCTATTCTGCTGTTCTAATGGCTCCCAGATTAAAAGACTTACACTCACACGGGTGCTGGCGAGGACAAAGGACAGAAGTAATTACACCTAATTATGAAAAGGATTTGGTCATAGAGAAATCCTTCTGGAAGCCAGGCGAGATTTGTGCTTCTGATAGGACTCCAGAAGAAAAAGACCCTTCTTGTCTACATCCATCAAATCATCCCTGATTTGGGTTGGTTCTTAGCTTCAGGGAAGACACAGTGATGGAATCTTGCTGTGAATTGTCTGCCTCAACTGTTCTCATGTGATGTGGTGACCAAGCTAGGGTTTGCAGCTTTGTGGGGTTTAATAAGCATGGAAGGAAAGAAGCCATCACTAGGAAAAGCCCTGCCTGACCTTTCCCCACGATCCAATGGTTCTCTATACTCCCAAAGGCTTTGACACCAAGTAGTAAAAGGAGCTTTGGGCTGGAGGTCAGAGGCCCCAGTTCTAGCCCTGTCTCTGCAACCACATCACCTACCACAGCCTTCAGTTTTCTTCTCCAGGAAAAGAAAGCAAGTTGAAGCTGTGGTAACTGATGTGGGCAGTCGCTGGGTGGACCCTGAGCCCCAGGGTCTGCTGTGCCAGTTCCCACCTGTGTGAATGGAAGGAAGTCACTCTTCTCTGAGCCTCAGTTTCTGTGTCTGGGAAATGGGGCTGCATTATAATGCCTGCCTCATAGAGTTGCTCAGACAATCTCTGTAGACATTTGCAAAGTGACCAGCATGGATCAGGTACTTTCTGAGAGGGTCACTCAGAAAATGACTTTTAGATTAACTAATTAATAAATCTGCAAGCAGATTGACGTACCGCGAGAAAGCAAATGTTGCAATATTCATGCAAATGCTTTTATTCTCAAACATAATCCTTTGTCTTTCAAAGAGGGCAAAGAATAATTGCACTTCTCAAAAAGAAAGAGCCCAGGAATTTCTTCTCCACCAAGCAGCTTTAGTGATGGATTGGGACACGCCCAGGATTTATGGCTTTGACAGGGTTATTGCCAAGAGAAAGTACCAGCTCCCAGCCAGCCAGGATTCTGCCCTACTAAAGACAGCAGGGCCAATAATTGCTCAGACATGCGTCCTTCCAGCCTATTTTCTTCTCTGTAGTTAAGAATTGTTTCATCCATCCACTCCAAACTGCTAAGCCTGCTTTAAATATTTTTCTCAAAGGTCAATGCTGCCTTTTTTATGTATGGGCAACTTTTTTTCTTAATTTGAAAGTGCCACATTCTTCAATTTTAAAATGTACTACCAGTTTAATCACAGCTTTTCAGGTGGAGGAGGAAAAAAAAAAGTCCCCTGCTCAAAATGCATTCCTGGATTGTGAGATACATTCCAGTTCCAGAAACATTGAGCTATGAAAAGGAAAAGCACGACCTAGAACCAGGAAACCCAGGACCTGTTTTCCCCTCTGGTAGCTGTGCGACCTCCTGTCTTTCTTGCCTCCCAGGCTCAGATATTCAGCCTTGCAGGCACCTCAGTAGAGCCTGTGGAAAGCTCCTTTGGTCTCATCTTGTGTCTGAAGTATGGCAAGTAATAAGAAGTAGCTACTAATGAACGGTGGCGTTGGGAAGTCACAGCCCACATTAAATGGGGAGTGTATGGAATGCTGGTCCACCCAAAGTCAACAGTAACAGACACAGGTGGATTCAGCAAGGAGCAGCTTTAAGAGATAAATCAATGCAGACTTTTTCACTCTTCAAAGGAAGTAAAATACAGATTGCCAGTGAATAATGCATAGCAATGTTGAGACAGATTTTAGAATTTGTGTGTGTGAGGGAGAAAGTGTAGAAAGATGGAGAAGGAGGCAGAGAGAGGGGACCAACTTAATGCCATTCTAGTGGGGGAGGATTCGGTGAGGGTTTCCTATGAAAACCTCATCCTTATGGCTTGACACAGGTTGGAACAGAACTAGTTTAGTCCAGTGAATATTCACTGAGCACATACAAGGGTAACAATGATAGCTAACATGTCTTGAACTCACTAACTATAGAATATATTTTTAGCATTTTATATTCATAGTCTTATTTAATCTTCACAACAAACCTATGAGGCCCTTATTATTAATATCTCCATTTCCCAAAGGAAAGCAATGATTGGTTTAGCAGATTGGCCCCAAGTCACACACCTAAAAGGTATTTGGACCCAAACAGGCTTCAGAGCCCACTCTTTTGACAGCTAATTAAAGGCAACAAGGACCTTTTATTTATCAAAGAACCATAAACAACACTGGAAAAGTTCACTACAGTGTAGAGATAAAGGAGAGTCAACAAGAGATACAAGTGATAGTGTCTAGCCCTGCGCCAGGGACGCAAACTAGTCATGGTCAACATACACTGTGTGCCCCATTCTGCTCTGAGCTTTTCAAGGTCATTATCTCACTTCCTCCTCAGAGCATTCCCTGTGAGGCAAGGGCACAGTTATTGTCCCCAGTGTGCACGGAAGCCACAGAGGCATGCCAGGCTGTGAACATGACCAAGGTCTCACAGCAATACGGTGGCAGAGATGGACCACCCCCCGCCAAGCCCATGCTCTTAATCTCTGCTCAATGGTGCTTCTCTCAGTAAAGATAGGGGAGAATTTGGTCATTGACAGAGTTGTGAACAGCACAGCCCTCAGCTGCAGGCCCACATCGAGCTGAGGGGGAGACACTAATTCTGACCTGAGGAACAGGGGCTTCCGGGAAGAGATGATGTTTAAGCAGAGCCTTGAAGGGAGGACTTGGAGGAGCAACTACTGAAGACAGGATACAGAAGGAAGGACAAAGGCAGGAGAGTTCAGCAAATGCAGAGATGTACTTTTCACTTTCAGAAGAGAGCTCAGTATGCATTTTACAACAGAAACATATTTTTCCCTCCAGAACTTTCTTTTAAATATCAATCCAAATGAAAATGTTTTAATCAGGGCTGGAGGCAGGGCTCAAGTGGTAGAGCACCTGCCTAGCAAGTATAAGGCCCTAAGTTCAAACCCCAGTGCACCAAAAAACAAAAACAAAAAAATGCTTTAATCAGATTTATTGAATCAGGTCTATTTTTTGAACCATTGTCATGTTTATCATAATGATTTAAAATGTGTATGTGTATATATACATATATGACTTCTGTCAGTGATTTCAGTATTTCAAGGTTTTTTTTTTTACCTTATTATACAGAACATTCTTACCCTAGTGTTTATCAAGTGCTTTAAAAATGTCCAACCCTTTTTTCTAGTCATTCTACTTTTAAGAATCTATTTTTATTAATCTGAAATGAAGACACTGGTTTACCCAAAGAAAATTTTAATTGAGATATAATTTATCCTTTTAAAGTACACAGCTCCCTGACTTTTGGTAGATTAATGAAGTTGTGTGGCTGTCACCTTTATCTAATTCTGAACACTCCAAAAAAAAGTCTCAAACCTATTATCAGTCTCTTCCCATTCTCCGCTGCCCCTCAGCCCCTGGTAACTATTAACCAGCTTATTTTCTGTCTCTGTGAACTTACCTATTCTGAACACCTCATATAAAGGGACTCATACATGTGGCCTTTTATGTCTACTTTCTTGCAGTCAGCACAGTGTTTAAAATGCATATATTTAGTGTTACTTGTCATTGTGAAAAACTGAAAACAAATTGAATATCTATCTGATGCTTGGTTAAATATTTCCATATTTCCATATGGAAATACTATACAGTTGTTAAGAAGAATATTAGTAAATACTTTATATTCAGTGGCATACTATAATACAGTGATCAGCGAAAAAAAACTCCATGGTGAATCTATAAGTATATTAGGAAATATCCTAAAATCTATAAGTATGCAAATATTTCCCATAGGGTTTTTGTTTTTATTTTTGTTTTGAGTATTGGGATTAGAGTTGATCTCCTCCATGTACTCCTAGTTTTCCTCCATGTGATGCATTACTCTGTGGTTGGGGGAAGCACGTTTAAACCCCCACCCAGTCTCCATCCTCGCTCTTTTGAGCATCTGTGCTCTCCTCTCCCTCAGACCAAGTCCGGAACAGCTACCACATCGGGGCGGATGGCTCCCTGCGGCTGCTGCTGGCCAATGGTATGGAGGTGGCACTGCAGACTGAGCCACATCTGCTGGCTGGCACCGTCAACCCCACCGTGGGCAAGAGGAATGTCACCCTGCCCATTGACAACGGCCTCAACCTGGTGGAGTGGCGGCAGCGCAAGGAGCAGGCTCGAGGCCAGGTCACCGTCTTTGGGCGCCGGCTGCGGGTGAGCAGGGCCTTGGTGGGAGCCTCCTGAGGGGAGAGGAAGGGAATCTGGAGAACTGGGCTCTGTCCTTGATACTCTCCCTGCAACCTCAGTTACCCCATTTGCACTAAAGCAGAGACCAACTTGTAATAAGAGGCTGTTGTATATCCTTTAGGTTTTGGCTTGTGGAAAAATGGCTGGCCTTGGGCTTAGGTCTGAGATGAGTTTCCAGCTTACATTATTCCCTGAGTGGATGTGGGTTAGTCTGTCAATTTAGAGCAGAAGATAAAAGCAATTTTACAAGTTGCTACAAGGTTTAGAAGCAAAAGAAAGTGTCTTATACAGAATCCGGCACCTAATAAGTGGTCAGTATAGCTATTCTTGTCATTGCTATTATTATTGTGGTGGTGGCTGTTACTGCTATTGCTTATGTCCCCAAAGTCATTTAGCTATTTGAAACATAAGCCACATTCTCCACTCTTTCCAGGTAGAATAATCCTTCCCAAATGATCAAAATGACCAGGCATGGTGGTACATGCCTGTAATCCCAGTGCTTAGGAGGTAGAGGCAGGAAGATCTTGAGTTTGAGGCCGGCCTGGGCTACACAGCAAGACAATGTTTCAAAAAAAAAGAAAGAAAGAAAAAAAACCCTCCCTATACCTGTCACTGTGGGCTGGCATTTGAGTGCTTTTCAGGATTAGATGTCCTGAATCAGACCTTCTCTGATTCCCGCTCATGTTTCTTTGGAGTACAGCTTCCATTCAGGTCCTCACTGCTCAGAAGCCTTTGCCTCCAGCTCAGTAAGCAAGCTGATAGGCAAAAGGAAAGCTGGTGACATAGGCCTGGCTTTCCATGGCACCTTAGACCTCAAGTGCTCATCAGGTATTTCTGAGCTGAAGCGAATCACAGAATTGCTCTACAGTCCCAACATTCTGAAAATGACAGACACATCCTCAGAGCAACACAACTCAGAAACTTGATTTCCTGCTCTTCAACACTGAAAGTCCATGTACACACCCTTCGTCCACAGGGGCAACCAAAGTCCAGGTAGGGTAAGTGATTTGTTCAGAGTCACATAGCTAGGCGGTGGGAAAGACTAGGCTCACAACAGAGACAGGAATGTTAGATGACTTACCCAGTAGCAAAAACAAGAACCCAGAAGATCCTTGACAATCAAGAACTCTGTATCTATCTTAGGTGGGAAACAGCCTTCTAGTTCCTTGTGGGAGGCCTCGCCATCTTTGTTCTCTGTGCTTTGGCCACTCACTAAGACCCTGTCTGATTTCTCAAAATGCCCTTCTACACATGTAAGTCAGAGTGCTACCTGGGAAGTTTGGCCTGGTTGGCTTTGGCCTCCATAGCCTTTAGCAACTTCTCTGAGCTTCAGCTTCCTCTGCAGACATAAGAGATCTATCCAAAGCCCCTGGCCCAGCGTTGTAATTCCCAGGTGCTCAATAAAAGGTAGCGATTAGTACTGTTAGGGTTTTCTCTCCACTGTGTGAACTGGACCAAAAGTTTTCCGGGCTTTAATTGGTCCCTCTCCCAGCCTGAGATTGATGATGCTCTAGTCGGGTGGCCACATCTCTGCTTCCTCCCAATATAAATGGCCACCCACAGTAGCAGCATGTGGAATTAGAACGTTAGCCGGGTGTGTCTCCCCATGATAGAGCTCATTTTTTATACAGCTAGGAACTTTTTTAATAAAGAAAGATGTGAAATAATCTCAGTCCCGCTACTGCCAAGCACAGGAAGCATTAGAAGGTTCCCCAGTGATCTGCTTAATTCAATTTTATTAATTTTGCCACAAAGGTACAAATCCCCTCTACTAGGGTCCTCCAGGGGGTAAGGGGACAGCTTGTCTGGATGGCGCCACCCTGGGGAAGATCGAAGGAGAACCTTCCAAAAGGTGCTTTTAAAAGATCCCTGTCATGGTTGGTAGGGCAGCCCTGTCTCTTCATTTGCCCTCTGCAAAGAACACAGCAACACCTCTGATTTTTCAAGGGAATTGTCTGCCACACTGTTTTTGCTTCTGCAATTGTGTTTGATTACCCCAGGGAAGGCAACCTTATTATAACCAAGCCACTCATGGCTAAAGTCATCTCAGCATCGTCATTATAAATCTTTATTTTCAAGGCCTTAGCATTTGTATGTGGAGAGGGAGAGGCACACATATCTCTCCTTCCTCTGAGACTGGCCGTGCTCATTTGCTGTCGCTTAATGGAAATAATTGCAACCATTTATCCAGTACCTTCTATGTGCCTCACACTCCACTAGGTAATTTACTTAAGTTTCTCCAATCCTTACAAGTCTGTGGTTGTTCAAAGAAAGAAACTGAGACTCGGAGATAGGGAGACACTTGCCCAAGGTCATACAGAAAAGCTGGAATCCCAACCTTAATTCCTACACCTGCCACCTCCCCCATTTTTTTTTTTTTAACTACATAGAGTCCCTGAGGGCCTCCCATTTCCTCAGGCCACACATGTCATTTTGCATCATGTGACCTAATTGTCTGCTCTCCTCTTGGATATTCCTACTTGTCAAACTTAACCAGTAACTGGTACAGAGACAGAAAATGTGCTCCAATGTGCCAAAAGGCCAGCAGCCCCTGGAGGGAAGCAATGTTTTAGCTTCAGAGTGCTTGGCCGTGTTTTAGGCAAGCCAGAGCCTAAGGGGCCAGCTCCAATTCCTGAAATGGCCCCCCAAATCTGTTTCTTTAGTAAAATATGAAGCCCTGACTTGGGAGCCTGTATTTCTCACTCTGAATGGAAATTGTATGCTGACCCTCCAGCCCAAGTAGAGACTACACAGAGGGGAAGCTCCCTATCCTGGAAGCAGGAGCACACTGGTCCAGAGGTAGAACTGGTCCCCAACCTGCCCACACCCACAGAAGCCACCCCCGACCCAAACATCACCACCTCCCAGGACCTCCAGGAGGAGATGTCCTGGGAGCTGACCAAGATGCTGTAGAAGCTCCAGCTGTGAGAAAGGGGTAGAGGTCCAGAGCCCCAAGAAGGCAAGGACTTGTTCAGAAGACCATTGAGTGCCTGTTGGCACTTGCAGTGGTGCAAGTCAAGCCCAGACTCAGTCGTGAGACCTGTAGCAAATGCTCTCAGTTCTCTGAGCTTTGGTTTCCTCTCTGTCTGACATGGCAGTGTCTGGCACAGAAAGGATGGCTCACACAGTTATTTGCTGGGCCCCTAGGTGGCTCTGTTTTTAGGAGGGTGTCAAGAGAGATCTGCCTTTGTTTTTGTTTATATGTCCTCCTTGAAAAATCACATTAGAGCCAGGTGTGATAGAATAGGCCTGAAATTCCAGCTACTCAGGAAGTAGGGGCAGGAGGATCAGGGTCCCAGGCCAGCCTAGGCAAAGGTAGCAAGACTCTATCTCCAAAATTACAGGTAGGGGGAAGCTGGGGGTGTGACTCAAGTATGGAGCACTTGCCTAACATGCCTGAGGCCCTGGATTCAATCCCCAGTATTGCAAATAAAAAAACCAATCACATTAGAAAATCCTGTGTCCTCTTCAGTCACAGCTATTATGTGCTCAGTACCCATGTTGTCTTCATTCTCACCATAGCCCCATACAATTAGCATCATCATTCTCACTTATGGATGAGGAAACTTTACAGAGCTGACAAGTGACAGAGCTGGGAGTCCCTTGCGTTTTGATGCCAACAACCCCAGATGCTTCCTCTACTCAGGAACTTCTCCGCACAGTTGAGAGCTACGTTGTCTATGTCCAGATTAACTTTTTCTTTCCATTTCTCCCCCTAGGTTCACAACAGAAACCTCCTGTCTCTGGACTTTGACCGAGTAACGCGCACAGAGAAGATCTACGATGACCACCGCAAGTTCACCCTTCGGATCCTATATGACCAGGCAGGGAGGCCCAGCCTCTGGTCACCTAGCAGCAGGCTGAATGGTGTCAATGTGACCTACTCCCCCGGGGGCCACGTTGCCGGCATCCAGAGGGGCATCATGTCCGAGAGGATGGAATATGACCCGGAGGGTCGCATCACGTCCAGGATCTTTGCAGATGGGAAGGCGTGGCGCTACACGTACTTAGCAAAGGCAGGTGTCTGCCTCCCTCCACCACTGATTTGATGTATGGAAGGTCAGTCAGTCAGGCACGTGGCTCACACCTGGAATCCTAGCTACTCAGGAGGCACAGATCGTGGTTCAAAGCCAGCCCTGGCAATTAGTGTGCAAGACCATATCTCGAATATACCCATCACCAAAAGGTCTGGCAGAGTGGCTCCAAGTGAAGGCCCTAAGTTCAAGCCCCAGTACTGAAAAAAAAAAAAAAATCAATCACTATGGCTCAACCCATGGACAGGCCTAGCCTGCTGACCTCAGTGGGAT